AGTCTATCCCCAGTATCTTACATAATATCACTACTACTATTTTTATCACTACTTGAAATGCTTACATGTTAGATTGTTTTGTTGTTTTTTTTTTTTTTAAAAAAATATATATTTCTGTGACTACTTCAACATAGTAACTTTCCTGTTACAGGACACTTCCTGGTGGAATAAGCTTTTGTTGGTACTTCTCTTCTTTGATCATGCAGCAGCATTTGTCGTATATCACAAACAGCCTTCAGAGAGTAATGGGTGTCTCTATTTCAAATCTCTAGATAAGAATCTTCATCTTGTATGATATAACTTGGCCAACTTTTCTTCCTGAAGGCTTTGTTTACCTCAAAGAAAGTCCTGTCCAACTGTTTCTACTCTGCATGCATCAGACAACGGAGTGCCTTCATTTATTTGTTTCTTTGGATCTTGAGTGAAAATTACAAACATAATGCGAGCGGGCTCTTTCTTTACCCATAAGAAAGAACCACCTGGACCAGGGCTGATTTGTTTAAAGGTGAACTTGGATAGTTACTGATTAGAATAATGGATTAGAGTAACGAATAGCTGTCTAAAGCATTGTCATGTTTTGTGGGTTTGTGTGTGTGTGTGATGGAAACATGCAGTTTCCACAGCCAAAGCAAGCCTCACTTTGTTTAATCTCCTTGCTCTGTTGGTATCTTCCTTGCATTGTAATCATTTCTTCCCAGCCATTATAATCGTATTTCCCTCATGGGGAAAGATAAAAAACTGTGTAGAGAATCCTCACTTCAGTGTTACAAGGATGTGGGTAAACACGTGTATGCCAAATTCAGTTTGTAGCTTAGGAGCAGGCAGAGCCAGTAATTCAGGTTAGAGCAGGCTGTAAGCCTTGCCGATAAATCAGCACTTGAAACCTGAGTAGGTTAGACAATGAACAGTGTACCGTGTCTGTACGAGGACTTTGACACATTTTTCTTTTGTTGTTTTCATTTATTTATCTTGTTTTGTGCGCCCTAGGAGTAGAATTAAAATGCAAACATTTTAAAAAAGCATAAAACAGCAACTAGTTCCTCAAAAAACCATAGCAACAAGGAAAAAACCTGTAAAAATGATGCTAATTTGATCAGTTACAAAAAAATACCTAATGTTTACGTTTATGATTAGGACTAGAGTGCAGACATTGATTTCTTGAGAAGAGTTTGAATTACGTTGCCACAGAATTGATTGCACATGTTGCACTGTAATTGACTTCCATATCAGTGATCTCTGAAGTGAAGTTTGCAAGATGATCCATTGAAACATGGAAAGAAAATTCTACAGTTTGTATGTATATTTTGTCTAAAATGATGGGAATACAATGCTAAGGAGAGGTCAGGAATTCCAGGTCCATATGCTGGAGCATAGAAGAATGTGACCTTGCTGGAAGAAGATGAAATCTGGGAATAGTTAAGCAAACTGTCCAGTTCTGAACTGCCAGTACTAAGGAGATAAGGATGTATTTGAGACAGTGTAATGTAATGCCATGAAGATGTGTAAGTGACTGGAACACTTCTCTTATGAGGAAAGGCTGAAAAATCTGGAACTGTTCAACCTATAGAAGAAGAGACTAAGGGATCTCATCAATGTACACAAATGCCTGAAGGGAGAATGCAGTGAGGATGGAGCCAGGCTCTTTTCAGTGGTGTCCATTGCAAGGACAGGAGGCAGTGGGCACAAACTGGAGGACAGAAAGCTCCCTCTAAATACCAAGCAGCGCTGCTGTGCTATATGGGTGCTGGAACACTGATACAGGTTGTCCAGAATCCGTGGAGTCTCTTCCTTGGAGATGTTCAGAAGCTGCTTGGATGTGAGCCTGAGCTGTAGGGTCCTGAGGACCCTTCTCTGGGTACTCTGTTTGGGCAGGAGTTGTACCAGATAGCTGCAGGGGTCCTTGCCAGCCTCAACCATTTTGTGATTATAGATGGGGAGTGGAAGAGGGCACTGTGTGAGTGAAAAAGAAAGAAATTAAGCATCAGTAATGTTTAATATATGTATTGACACTGGGAATGTCATGTGGTCCTGCTTCTAGTAGCATTGTTAGGGATTCAGAGATAAGGGAGTGTTCTGCAACACTATGGGGTTCACAGTGGCACTTGCACTTCTTCATTCACTTTCCACGTATTGCAGTTCCATTTGTACCCGGTTAGTTGAAAAGGAGGATTGAATAGATGGATCCAAAGACACCACGGATTTAAGATAATACTGATAATGTGAGTACAAGTAAACAACAAGAACATGGCAGGACAGACACTTCTCCTAGCACGAGATTTTTGTTGACCAAATTATGAAGTAAAAATAATGGCAGCCTGATCTGATCTGATGAGAAGTAAGCAAAAGAAAAATCAACATTATCAAGGAGGCTGTTTGAAATATGGATGTATCTTCACAATCATTAATAATTAATCTCATCTAAAATGTATATTGTACCTTAAGATATCAGCTAACGTAGGAAGATTTTAGCTAATAATATGAAGCACTGTCATGACCAGCAAGGCATTTAAAATCTGTGCATCTGAAATGTGAAGGTCAACAGCTACACTTTTCTCTGCGTTATTTAAAGTCATGTGATAAACAATCATGTACTCTAGAATTTTTCACTTAATTTAAATCTTTAGATGCCTCTTCTGAGACTCTTAGATAATAGCAAAAGATAAAAGCTATGTACATCAGGAAGACACTTGTTCTTTCTGCTGTGGTAAAAATGTATGAAATAATGCATGGGAAACAACATGGCAACAAACCAAAATATGTTCTTTTGTCAGCAATTGCTGTTAAAAAATCCATAGGAAATATTACTGAAGATTTGAGGGGAAAAAAAAGTACTAGAACAAATTGCACCATGTGTGAGATTTGTTATAGAGTTGATGTACATATAATGAACATACAGATGTTTCTAACATCTCAATTTATTGTATTTGCTAGATTCTATTTCTGTAACAAAACGTACAAGGAACTAAGCCACTAAAGGAAAGATATACCAGAAAAGATATATTCATATCAGTAAATGACTTATCTAATAGAAACTTTTTTTTTTTTTTTTTAATAGAAATAATGTGCAAATGTAGTCACTGGTAGAGTGTCTACATTGTCAGATATTGTTTTTTTCAACTAGGTAAGGTTGCAGAAATGAAATGTGAAATTCATTTGCTGCGTCAGGCTATTGTAGAAAGGAGTTTGGAGTCAGAAGTTCACATGAAGTACTGAAGGATGTGACTGACACAGTTAATAATATGAAAGGAAACTCTTAACAGCAGAGCCTTTACAATATTTGCAGTGACACGAGGAGTGACCATGAAGATCTTTTGTACGATGCAGAGGTTTGCTGATTATCTCATGGCGAGAGTTGTTAAACAATGATTGGGCATTTGTTCAACTTTTCTGTTATGAGAAGTAGTTGTCTACTTTAGCAGATACATAAAAACAACAACAAAAGGTTGTGTGACCCTTCCAGGTAGAGGTAATTCTTTAATGGCGAGGAAGTAGCTGCTTTGTGAAAGAAGTTTGGACTATGGAATGTTTGGAAAGTAGATGTTTTGAAATGTTTGTGATTTTGTTGCCAGAAATGATGCAAACATGTCACCCATAAAAGCTCTTACATTTAAAACTGGAAGCAATTTCATAACCTATTTTAAGTTTTTCAAATGAAGATTTTCAGTGGGTTTTTGACCCACTTGCCAAAAACAGAAAAATGAAACAACTTTGGTTTGATTTTCAAGAACTGATTTTTGCCACCAGGGAAGATATAAACTGACCAGCCATATACCATGAAACATGTTTCATGAGTGGGAATGAAAAATGATTATTATGACATAGCCAATGGTGTTCTTCCATTTGGGTATATGCATCTTTATGATTTTTCTTCTCCAGATATGACGAACGTTAAAGACAAGTATTGAAGTTACATTGAGTTTATAACCAGGCCTTCAAGTGACTGTTTTATAAAGTGATAAACCAACATTAGAAAAACAAACAAACAAACAAAAAAAACAACCACCATATAAGCGTATTTTATCACATTGCTCTCCCTGAGAAATAATTGTATTTTCAATGGAAGTTTTTTATTGTATCACTAATAAAAAATAACAATGCTCTATTTCTTCTTTCTTTTGTCCTTTTCAATTTATGTTTTTGTGTGTTTTATTATATACAAAATATTTTATTAGTGCATTCGTATAATTTTATAGAAGTGTGCATACCAGGGGTGCGTGTTCAACATTTTTTTCACTGACACATGTACAGTCAGATAGGTTTGCATGGCACTGTTCCATATTACTGTTGTTAGCAGTTGATGTTCAGAGGCAAACACAGGGCATTCATCCAGACAGTCTATTTTATGACACAAATAGAATTGTCTGTTAAATAATATTTCTAGTTTTGGTGCTGCCTTTCAAGCACTTGAAGGTATGCCCTTCAAGTGCTGGGGGTGCCCCAACTCACATCAGAGCCACGGTGTGCTAGTTGATGAATGGTGGCATAGGGTGGTCCTTGCTAAGTTCTTGTTGCTTTGATAGGTGAGGAAGGTGGGCATCAGTGGTTGAAAAAGCTGATGGCAGGCCTAGGAATAGATTTCAAATTGTCTAAATTGCTTATGTTGCTGCTAGGACAGCTTGGTTTTTCAAGCATGTATACGTTGCAGATGTTGTTTCCTTAAAGTTGTTGGTGCTTAGTTCATCTGGATTATAAGCATAACTTTTAGAGACAGGAATATTGATACTGCTGCTGTATGTTTATTCTTTGCTTTAACAGTTGTTCTAAGCTTGGTAAATTGGTAAATGTAAACATTACTGTTTACAGCATAATCAAAGGCAAAGTGTGACAAATTTTGCAGCTTTTTTTTTTTTTTTTTAACTAGTATTATGAATAACCGAGTTGTCATGCCAAAGTGATGCTTGGTGTCTTGCTAATTAATTGCATGTTTTAATAAACTGTCTCCTTTTTTCTTTCTTACTTTCTTTTTCTTTCTTTCTTTTTTTTTTTTTTTTTTAATTTAGGCTGAAGCCTAAACTTCTGACATGGCCACAGCCTCTCCAAGAACTGATACAAGTAACAACCGTAATGGAAGGTTACAGATGCAAGTGACAGGCAAGTAGTGATAATTTGTGTCACTGGTTTTTAGGGGGAAATATTCTAAAAAAAGAAAGCTGAAGCAGATCTGAAAAACAGATCAGTATAATAGGCATTTTAATTCACTGGAAGGATACAATTAAGAGCATAGCTGTAACATACATAAATGAATTGAGGCTAGGTAGAAATGTTGAAATGAGGTGGATGACAGTTTAATGATCACTTCAAGTGAGAAAAGCATGGAGATGCAATACAGCAGTAGTGACAGGAATTGTGCTAGAGAAGAATTAATGCCATATAATCTGTACAGAGAAACACCTATTACTGAAATTATACAAGAAATATTGGCAATTATGGGGAACTGCAAGTAAAAATGCGTGCAGTGTTGTGGAAAATCTGTGGGAAAACTGAAAGGGATTGCAAAATCTGCTGGCCATTCAATAAAAAGCCTTCATATGCATATATAATAAAAAGCCTATATATACTTCATGTATATATTATGTTATTTTACCACTAATAATACGTAATCTGAACTTTTCCAGGGATCCAGAAAGAATCTGGGAACCCTGAAGTAAGAAAAAAATATATGATCTGGAATGCATTTAAGTCTATCATGAGCAAAACTTGGGAAAAAAGTCAGTAAGATGCTATGTCTCTAAAAAAGTTATATCCAAAGAAAGATGCATCATGTTGGGTTGTAGAAAGGTGACTGGGTTATCTGAGGAAAAAATGCATTGTTGGGCTTTCCCCAAGTGGATATTTTGTTAAATTAAATGAGGAATCCTTTGTGGGACAACTAATAAACTGTGTATAAAGATAGAATGATGAATTGTCAGAATCAACTATAACTGATAGCGTAGTGTATGAATAGTGTATGAACAACTGTAAGAAACTGAGTTAAATAAACAGCCTGTAAATTCAGGGCATATATGCAGAAATTATCATTCTAATGTCCCGTTCTGTTTTGCTCTATAAGTACTCTTGTGTTTTCCTGAAACTTCTGACTGACTGTCAGTCTGACTGACTGACTGAAACTTCTCTGACTTCAGGAGATCTGGTTCAAAGACTGAAATGGACAGAAACCTGTCTGATTTTTTGGCTTGGTTCTCTGAAGGGTTAATAATCGGAAAGCAATCTCAGAGACATATGGGAGGCTTAAGAAAGAAAGCGTAGCCAGCAGGTACATATTGCTGTGAGTCCAAACATCTTTTCTGGAGCAGGTGCCTGAAGTACCATTTGAAATGTTGGCAGCTAGGCTGCTGTTGGTTGTTACAGTAACATTGTCAGCTGGGTGAGGAAACAAAAGAATAGATTTGTATTCAGGAACACTGAGGATCTCACCGGAGATTTGGAGAATAAAAAAAAATTGAACTTTTTTGATCAGTTGCTGTTTCTAATTGTTGAAGATTTAGCTGAAGCCTGAAGTTCATCTGCAAAATTCTTTAAATAGGGGAAATTTGAGAGCTGATTTCTTACTTTCAGTGATGTGTTAAACCAGAAGTTAATCACACAGGTGGTACAGGTGATGAAGCTCTGCATTCAGGTTTTGCAGTGAAACATACATAGCAGTGAAACATTTGTAGCAGTGAAATTTTGAAATAGGCTTAAATTGCATGTACCTTTGTAAATATGCGTAATTTGAAATAATGAAGCTTCTGTTAAAAAAAAAATCAACATCAAAATATGTCTGATAATCTCTCAGGGGTATCATACTTAGCTACTGTTCAAGAGAATAGTTGGATGAGAAAGAATTGTGAGAAAATCTAATAGACTGTATGATTTTCATATTTTTTTTTTTTAAATAAAATAATTGTTGTGCTGTCTTACCCATCCTGCCATTACACAGTGAAGAGAACTTACTATGCTTTGTTTGAACTACCTGACAAAGTAGTTCTTGAAAATGAAAGGTACCATTCTGGGATTGACCTCTTTCTGTTCAGCAGAAGTAGGAGTGGATGAGGAGCAACATTGCTGTGCTCTGTTCCGTACGCTTTTTCTAGTACGGTACTTTTCCTCGTTTTCACTAAGTGCTGTGCTGAAGATAAAGCAATGCATTTTATTAGTTTCTAGTGCCAAACTGAAACGGAAAAAGAATTGGTTTGGAACAACTTTCTACACTGAATTAACTGCAGATGGAGAAATCAAGAAAACAGCAAAATCAAGTAGTTCTTCAAATCCAAAGTGGGATGAACAGCTGACAGTGTAAGTAGATTTATTTCTTTACTTTTATTTTGATTATTTGGTACTATTTATTGGCCTGCCATTGTAGGCAAATATTTATTGAACTTGGCTGCCTACATGACTTTTTCTGGCTTTTGCTGACTATGTGCAGACATAAGGTGATGTTTAATGAAAATTCTTTCTCAGTGTTTATGATGTTATGAGAATAATATATATGTGTATATACGTGTGTGTGTGTGTGTATTTATACATTTTTTTTTGGAGGAGAGCGTTCTGTGTACAGTTGCTGTCCACAGTATGCCCTTAATACTTATTTGCACTGTGGACATCTCATGTTTAAAATTCCCCTCTAGAAGATCTTAGTAGTTATAATTATGTCATTCTCAACTTTGAAAGGAAGGAATTCACAACTTGTTGAGTAGGCTACGAGGAAGGTCACATTTCCTTTAAACTTCCTAATGAGGGGATGTGATTACAAAACAAGTTGCTATAAAGTGGCCGTGTAACTTTTCCTAATATTCAAGTTGCTTAATGTGATAATGGCTTAATTTGGTTTACTGTACTATAGGTGCAGGAATACCTGAATACGACTCTGTGAAGAACTGGCAAATCTTGCACAGTGTAATTGGCTAGAAAGCATTATTTCATGAACAACACTGGGTCTGGTAACATCACAGCTACTTTCAGAAGGCACTGAGTGCTGTACACATTACGGTATCTGACCTACCTGTGTGCGATAGCCAGGTTTGTTAGTTACAAGAACCTAGTTTGGTTCTGGAGAATGGGGAGTGGCACTGCATACCTAGTTTTGGGGAGTCATTTACTTGATAACACTATTATTTGGTAACTGCAGATCTGTGGCGAACCAGGTAGGGTGGTTCCTGTGTCAATATTCTTGGTGTTTTAGGTTTAGTAGAGCTTATTTAACCCTCTGCAGTATTGCAAAACTGAATGGTGTAGTCTTGGACCTAACAATGATTTCCAGGAGTTATAACTAGCATTAGTACTGAGCTACCACAGAGACCAGAGCTGCTGTTGAGGAGACAGGCTTGATTTGGCAGGATTTGGTGACTTGTTAGAAGTGAAGTAATTTGTACGTAGTACAGCCAGACAGACATTCCATCATCAGTATTACCTAGGATGTGTTACTTACAGATAAGGTATTCTGGTCCACTTTTTCTAAGTCTGTTGGAATGGTGTTATTGATTCAGTTGACCAGTCTTCCTTGGGATAAGTGAACTCTCCAATTTACCAAATTCCCCTGACCTGAAGGGGTTCTGCAAGAGCACCAGCAGTGTATTCTGTGTGTATTTTATTTTATTTTTAGATCTGATCTTGTAATAAGATTTCCATTAGAAGGCAGCCTATTCAAAACACAAAAATATTCTTCCTTATAAATTTCTGCAAAAATGATCCATGCTGTCTAATGTGTTAAAGTGCCTATAGAGTTAGCTCTAATGATGGGGCCTGGGGACAGTTTTTAGCATTATTTTTAGCAATGCTGATATACCTTCACTTTTGTAGTGCTGGCAGGTATGTGACCTTGGACTTCTTGCAGTACAGGGATTCTGCTCTGTTTTTCACAGCCAGGAGCACTCTTGTTGTGATGGAAACTGTTCTATGAGACTTACTTTCCAGGACCTAACATAGGTTCTTAACTTTCCTTCTTGAGCAGGGGGGAGATAATTGCTGAAGTCTGTAATAATATTACTGTAATTGGGGCTTCCCTTCTGTTTCCACTATAATTTCACTATTGGATTTTTTTGCCCTCTGATTTTTGTGCATTATGGTTTTATATATATTTGTGGATTCATAAGTAATGTTTTATCAGCACTTTCATGGCAAGCTGACAGCTGTGGTGTGGGTTCCTGTTTGCAAGTAGCTGATTGGTTGTATTTTCGTTTCTTTTTCTAATGCATGGTGTTTTTTCTTCCCAGTGACAGACAAACTGCTTTTACTTACCATCTTTTTATTCGCTTGAAATTGTGTTAGAATGTATTTAAAATTCTAGAATAGTGAGGAATAAGGAAAATATATATTTAAGAAACGAGATATGCTGTTATATAATTGAGAGTTGAGCTTAGTTTAGGTTATTATTTAACGGTTGGACTGGATGATCTTTTAGGTCTTTTCCAACCTTAGTGATTCTATGATTCTATGATTCTGATACTCCCCAAATTCCTTATGCTACTTCTAGTAATGTTCTTTAAGCTTGATCTCAAGTATAGATATTGCAGTGTTTACAGTGCTTTATTAATTAAAAATTGCCCTTCACATTATGAAAACTTTTTTTCACGTAATTAGTATCAAGAAATACAATAAATATGAGAAAATGAATTAAAGTCAAACATTCCAAGTTAGAAAAATGAATACGTTTAAATCTGTATATATATATATATTTAAAAATGTATTTTATATGCAGGAATGTGACTCCACAGACTACGCTGGAATTTAGAGTGTGGAGCCATCACACTTTAAAAGCAGATGCTTTATTAGGAAGAGCCACTGTAGACTTGAAACAAGCTTTGGAAATACACAATAGAAAATGTAAGTTATCCTGAAGGATATTTTAAGTAGAATTGTTATAACTAATCTTTATATCAAAACTGGCAAACAAACTACTAACTATATGTGTAATTACAACTGATTTTCAGTTGATGTCTTTACTTGTCTCTCCTGGACATGTCTAACTGTGCTATTGAGAACAATTGAAATGTAATAATGAGATGTATAATTTTGAAGCAAATACCAGGGTCCAAGTCACTACTAAGTAAAAGCAGTAGTAATTAAATAAAATGTTTTGTGGCAAACTAGTATGTAATTTGCTAGAAGATCTGTTTTAATCTTGTTTTTAAAACAAACAAAAAAAAATCTAACGTATTTTTTTACATTGTTTGTTTTTCTTCTTTGAATAAATATTTTTCTCTCATAACTTAACTGTCCAGAGAGCAGTAGAAAGCACTGATACAAGAATCAATTGAGAACTTCTTTTTAGAACATGAGTGATTGTGGTATTCTATGTTACTTCTAACATTTGTTGCCTTTAATAGAATTAAAACAGGTCTTCTTTACTTTGCTTTTTAAACTTTTTTTGTGAATACAAGAAGATGGTGAATCCACACTTTAAATTCCACTCCAGAGTGGCAGTAGAATTCCAGCTAAACCAGTATTTTGCACAAGTTCGATACACCAACTTGAAAGCTCAGTTTAGAGAGGTGGAAGAAAAGATAGTTTCGCAAATGCTTCATTTTTCTGATTCTTTGAGAAAATTGAAACAGAATCCAAAATCCAGTGGAATTTCTTCAGCAGTATGATGAAGATTCTGCATGGATTCTGTAGTTAAGCAGAAAATTTGCTTATTTTTAAAATAAATAAATAACAAAGTCTAATACTATAAAAATAATCCTGAAATGTCAGGAGGAAAAGTAATTGTAAAACTTCCTGTATATTTTTCATGTGTGAAATTTTATGTTTTGCCTATATCAGAAACTGTATTGTAATAATAATAGCAAAAAAAAAAAAAACAACCAACAAAAGTTAAGATTTTATTACTGGAGATCCAGGAGTTGTGCACCCAACAACTTGGCAGATTCTTTCAGGATATGGTTGGCTGTGTTAGCTGTACGTTGCACCAAAGTTAATTTACCTGCTCTGCTTCTGATTTTGGTGTGTCAACAGTCCAGCACACACTGAATTACTGAAAGTAATAGTAATAGTGAAAGATTAATCTGGTCACTCAGTTATTGATTGAAATGCAGGAGTTGAAAAGCTCTTTACTGAAGATATGAAGGGGAAGTCTAAATGCAGAAATTTCAGAATTAGTGCTGTTACTTTCTCCTACTAAATGCCACTAGCCTTGTATTGCTGCCCACACCCCTCTCAGCTTTTTTGCAGGCTCAGTTGGAGTAAAACCATTTTGGTCTGATTTTGGAAGGTGACCTTTTAAAGTAACAGAGAGTGAACAAATCACCGTTGCAGTTTATGAATATGCTAGTTTAACAGCTCTGTGGTAGGCTAGTTTCTCCTCCCCCTCCTTTCTCTCTAGACCAATAATTCTGTAGTAGATTTGGCAGCTTTCTGCTTACTCCAGCAGTTTACAGTACTGTGAAATCCATCTGTAGAGTCACAGTGGGTGTTTACTAAGATTTGCTGCCTGACAGTATACAGTTCAGTCTTTTCAAAATGACTCTTAGGATCTCAGTAACGTCTTGGGCATTTGTGGCAATAACTGATGCTAGCATTCTCTGTTCTTATGTTTCCTATTCATTTCTGATGTTTGTTAAGAACAGAAAACATATGGAAGTGCTGGCTTAGCGCATGGATGTACAAGTTACACAGTGAGCTTTAACTTTGGCTTGAAATTCTATCAGATTGAGGGATACAGGCTGTTACATCTTGAAAAAATAATCCTTTAATCTGAGACCACAAATACTAAAAGGCCTTAACCATTTTAACCTGATTAATGTGAACTCAGAGCTTACTTTGTTTAGTTGTCTGACATGTAGTTTTAAATGCTGAACTAGTAATGGTTCATTTAGAGAGAGTTATGCAACATCCACAGCATGTTTAAACTCTGGATTATGTGTCTCTGTCTATACATCTGTGCATTTCTTATCAGTTATATTGAATTATTCTACTGCCTCATTAATGTGTTTTTGTTTTTTTTTTTTTAAAACTCAAAACAAGGTTTTTTGGTGAAAATATTTTCTCATTTAATTTTTGGTTACTTGAGATATTTTCTGTTAATGTTTAATCCTGGGAGTTGGAGTCTATGAAAATGCACTTACTAAAGTTAAAAAAATAAAAAAACAGAAAAAACAAAAAGGAAAGACTGTGCAGTTTTTGTATTTATTCTTTCCTCAAAGTGATGTGCTTTTCTACTGTGTCTTAGAATTACTTTTGGAAGGTGGTAAGCGAAATAAGCATAAACTTAGGTTGTAGAATAAGGTTCCCTATGATTTGTCACATATAGTATTTGGATGTGTCATCCACAAGTTGTTTAACTTTAAGCCTTCTTGTGTTATGTAAGTAGTGCATGATTTCAAAAGGGCTTAGTGGAAGTAATAAACCTGGGAAGTCATTTACAATGCAGTACTGAAATTATATGGATCCTTTTGTATACCTGGAGCATACTGTATAAATAAGCTATTTATTTTTACATTAAACTATGCATTTATGCACAGCTGGTCTGAGTTTCATAGCTCCTTAGTGATTTCTATGTTATTCAAGTCATCTGGGTGTGACATTTTGTACAGATATATTTTTTGTGCAAATGTATCTTTTTTTTGTTGGCAGTGTTTTTTCAGTATTGCTTAGGATTTAATCTTTCCTTTATTCCTTCTCTCCTTCTCTTCCCCTACCCATTCCAACTTCATATATAGTGGAAAAGGTGAAAGAACAGTTGAAATTATCTTTGGAAAACAAGAGTGGCATGGTGCAAACAGGCGAACTGACAGTTGTGTTAGATGGTTTGGTTGTTGAACAAGAATCTCTTACAAATCTCAGTTCACCAGCAACCAGTAAGTTGAAACAATTCAGTCAATATTTTGATTAATACTTCAGACAGATTTAGTAGAATATTTGTATTGATTTCTTTTTTGTTGTTTGTTTTTACTGTTCAGTAGAAGTTCAGCAAAATGGAGAGGCTGTGCATGAAAACAGAGATGCTTCTGCAAGAAGTGCATCAAGGTTGGAATTTATTTTTGTTTTTTAGACTGTGTGTAAAGTACATCAGTTTTTATCAGTTGACATTTTTTTTTGTTTCTAAAGTACAGAATGCGTTCTGTATCGAAGCTGTTAATGGAAACAACTCACCATCTCCTATATATGTTGCAGCCAGACCCAAAAATCTTATCTATCAAACTCTTAATTATTTTACCATAGGTTTAGAAATATAGTTTGCTTAACAATGACATAATTCAGCTTGGCAATAATTAAATTTACAATTCTGGTTTTCCTCTCCTGTTAAAACCTGCTTTCCATTAGTGCATGACTACCTTTTTAATGTGTAGCCCTCTGAAAATAGATTTCAAACGGCTTGAATTTTTTATGAAATCCTGCAGATGAGAGTGGCACAGGATGGTTTTGTATACTTTGTTCATTTGTTTTCTCTTCTGGTGTCTTACGAGCAGTTTCTGTTCATGTCTACCAACTTTTTGCAATGTAGCATCTGAACGGAAGGAAAAAGAAAAAAGCCTAAATGACTTCCTTCTCACCCAGTTCCTTTTTTAAGGTTGAGATCAGGAAGTTGTTGAACAGACTTGTACTATGTTTAGGAGGTAGTATTCAGAATGCTGAGCCAAAGAGTTTGTCATCTTCAACCTAACATGGTAAGAAAAAGACTTGGAGATCAATTTCAAGCTTTGTTCTTGAAGCCACCATCTTTTTACCAGCTCATGGACTGCATACAGGGAAATAGGAGGCTCTTTGACTTCTCAACCACTAGTGAGTTGAGTAGGCCAGTGTTCAGATCAATGGTCTGCCAGTTGTCTTGAAGTCAGTGCAAACAATTTAAGTTTTTTACTTAAAAGATAGTGTGAATAAGTGTACAGTCACTATACATTTGAGTGACAGGACTGCATTTATCCTTATGCATGTGATTATTTTCTTTGTTCCTCATGCAGTGAGAGAAAGAGTTATACTCGCAGGTGGTGCTTTGGGATGGTCCCTAAGGCATTTTTGGAAGACGTATGCATCAGTTGCTCCCACTCAACTCTAATATCTCATAAAGTAAAGCCACAGTGGAAATGGGAAATCTTTTCTAAGTGTTCTGAAGTTCTTCAGGATTTATGCCTTGTTTTGTAATTGTTTTTGTCTTGCACTTGACTGCTATCTAGGCTGCAAATGTATAAACTATTGTGAATTTACTTATGTTCTTTGTGTATTTCTTTTGTATGCTATAGTGTAGGATTTCAGTTCTGTGCATAACTATTAAATGTGTTTGTACTAATATAAGCTGATGGGTTTTTATTTTTATTTTTACCAAGGTCTGCTTGTGATGTTTCTAATGGGAATGACAATCAAGTACCTTCAGACTCTGTAGTACAGAATGCATTCTGTATTGAAGCTGTTAATGGAAACAACTCACCATCTCCTATACATGTTGCAGCCAGACCCAAAAATACACCTGTACCAAAACCACTGGGAACTGAGCTTGTCAACAGCACTGGTAGGAATGGGAGAATTATAAGAACGTTTATGTTAAAGCTTTTTGTCTAATCGAAATTAATCTGAAACTGAATCACTTTTTCTGCACTTTTTAAAATTAGATTTCAAGAAATATTGAAAGGAGTGTCTCTGCGCTTTAATTTATAATCTTGTATTTCCACTCCATTATTTTTTCTGTAGTAGATCCATTATTAAGTGTCCTAACTGTCATACTTGCCTGTGAATTCTCATATTGGATGAAGTAAGAAGTAAAATATCCAGAACTTCCTTCTCAGTCCCAGATTACCAAACAACATAACTGATTGTTGGGGGAAAGACTGAGATTTCTTTCATATAATTCATTTGAATAACTCCAGTTAGGCTTCTTTTGCTATTGGATAAATCTGCAGCTTAGTGCTGTTAGGAACTGCTGTGCCTAGAGTTAAAATGTAGACACATTTTGGTTTCTGTTTTTTGAAAAGCTATGCTGTTTTAAAACAGATATTGGCAAAATAGCAAATTTCACACTTCTCTTAAACAGAAAAACTTTGGTACTTATCCTAATTAGGGGAAGCATATGGTACAGTAAAAGAATTGAAAAGCAGGTATTTATTTTTGTTCTTCAGGCAAAGCTTTGTATCTGATCATGACTATATTTTTAAAGCACTTGCCTCAGCTGATTGAGTGAGACTGCAGTGACAGAGGAGGAAAAAGATACTCCTAAATAGAAATACACAAGCTGTTAAGAAACAGGAGAACAGAGACAGTTAAGCTTCCTTTAATAGAGTGGAAAATATCGGAATGGTGGCAAGATGGCAGAAACAATGATAAACTTTAAATGGTAGTAATTAAATTAGGCCTCTGTGAACTGTATCTCTTTTTAGACAACTTGAATTTGATTCCTCTCTCTTTTCAGTTGAAGGCCAAAGGGCATATGTATTATTTAAGCACTGTTCTCTTTTTCTTCAATTGCTAAGAGATCTGTTTTAACTTGGAATTTGGATAGAGTAATTGCAGTAGTAATTGATTTGTTCAAACAGTAATATTGATGAAATCATCACTGAACTTGCATTGAGACAGTTTTAAACTACTGTATTGGTTAGTGGAGGCATTTTTATTTTTAGGAAAAACAAAATGAGTCTTCAGCATTTGTTGATCACATTGTTTCTTTTTTTTTTTTCCTCTTTACTTAGCAGAATTGTAATTTTTTATGATGCTGCTGGAACTGCTGTTTTAAATCTAATTGGTGAGGTAATCAGCTAGTGTATCATAGAATCATCGTAGCATCACAGAATTGCCTGGGTTGAAAAGGACCATAATGATCATGTAGTTTCAACCCCCTGCTATGTGCAGGGTCGTCAACCACCAGGCCAGGCTGCCCAGAGCCACATCCAGCCTGGCCTCGAATGCATCCAGTGATGGGGCATCCACAACCTCCTTGAGCAACATGTTTTACATATCTGTTTTGGAGATCAGCTTACTAAAAGAGCTGATGATTTGTCAGTTATTCTGATCCTAACTTAATTCTGTCATTCCATTGATTGTTTTATGTGGATGAGTTGAAATTACTTTTTTAAATGAAAGTTGAAAGTTAAACTGGCTTTTTTTCTATTTTGATAAAGTTGTTACTGTAGCTACTGTAGCAGACATTTAAAGAAAACTGATCAGATTGTCTGTACTAATGATTTTTTTTTAATCTCATGCTTTATATGTTGTTTAAATATTATGAATTCTTGATATATCTTGTTGTAGTTAATCTGTTTTATGTGAGCTGCAAGTAGTGATATATTAGCCTGGAATAGCTGTGTTCATGAATCAGTGCCTTTTACAGACCTTACACACCTCCTACTGCTTCTACAATCATGCTTGTCAGTATGCATTGTAAGCAAATATATGTGGCCTAGTGATAATTCCTTAAAGAAACTGACTTGCTATTTTGAATATGTTAGTGATTACTGCTTAATTGTGGTGGGGTTTTTTTTGTTTAGTTGTTTGTTTTTTTTTTAATTTGTGCATGTGTTTTTAAAAGGAAGATGAGATTTTCAATTTGCCAGTGTCTGTTTTTGCTTTCTGAGAAAGCCAGCAAATGTTGACATTACAGCTATTGCAAGTAGTAAGTAGTCTTGATTTTTTTTATTTGTAAGAGTACTGTACAGGATTAAAAGAAATGAACTCTTTAAAATGATGAAACACCATTTTATAGGCACTAGGCTAGAGTTAAATTTTGCACATTTCTATCAATAAGATTGCGAGTGTAGAGAAATCTTAGTATTTTGGCCTCAATTCTTAGAATTGGAAGCTTATAATGTGCTGTCAGTTAGAAAACAACTTGAAGTGTGTGTTGCATATGGTATTTTATCTTGAAGAAAAAGATTTAGAACTCTAAAAGAGGTATAAACTGGCAAGCTTAAATATAATTGTCACTGGTTGGTGTTGACTAGGGATTCAGAAAATGAAAGCTGTGAATGATATTACACTACTTCACGCAATGTCCTTGACTTTTAATGGGGTCATATTGACTACTGTACCTGATTTCACTGGTTTGAGGCAAGATCTTATGCTGAGATGCTATTCTGCTAAGATCTGCAGATGAAGAAGACAGACTATAGCAGGGTGTGTTGTGACAGGACAGTGGGGAATGGTTTCAAACTAAAAGAGTGGAGATGTAGATTGGGTATAAGGAAAATGATTTTTGCAGTAAGGGTGGTGAGGCACAGGAACAGTTCACTAAAGATGTGCCCCATTCCTGGAGACACTAAAAGTCAGGCTGGATGGGGTTCTGAGCAACCTGATCTAGCTGTAGGTGTCCCTGTTTATTGCAGGGGAGTTGGACTGGGTGACCTTTAAGGGTGCTTTCCAACTCAAGCAATTCCATGGCTATGACTGGTATTGATGAATTGCCAGCCAAATGGTCTTGAGAATACTAAAGCCTTCTTAGCCCATTTTTCCTCTCAAATCTGTCTGTTTTAAGCTTTCTATGAGATTATGCTTGCATGAATAAAAAAATTTACTTTGATTCTATTATAATTTTTGTAAATTTTTAGTCTGTATCAGTTGCATTAGTAGACTGGATCTGCTGGGATGGAGTTAATTTTCTTCATAGTAGTTTGTATGATGCTGTGTTTCAGATTTATGAGCAAAATCATGCTGATATCATGGTTGTGCTTTAAATGCTGCTGAAGTGTTTCTTCACAACATGAAGTCCTTATGTGTTTCTCATTCAGCCTCTTCTTAGCTGATGAACAGATTGGGAGTGCTGGAGAGGTTGGGAGTGGAAGCATCCAGGCAGATAACCTGAACCAACCAAGGAGATGTTCTTTGTCATACAATGTCTTGCTCAGCAATAAAAAGGGAGAGGAGAAAGTTTGGGGTGGTTAGTCATCTTTCTGCATGGGAATTGGATTGCTATCATTCTATCCATGGGAGGTGGTGAATGATTGCCTTCACATCCACTTGTTTTATTTCACTGTTTTTGTCATCTTCTAATTCTTTTCGTACTAAATATTTCTTTTATCTTGGCACACAAGTTTTCTTGCTTTTACTTTTTGTTGTCTCTTCCCTAGTCATGCCGTGGGTGGAAGTGAGTGAGTGGTTGTGTGGTGCTTAGCTGGCAATCAGAGTTAGCTCACGACAGTTAGCAAAATGCAATTTTTTAGCACATATTGATCTTGTTAGGGATGCTGGGGTGATTTTTTAATGTCATACACAAGATGATCATTGCTTTATTGTAGAATTTTGTATCTCAACTTCTAAAAGGGTAAAAAAAAAAAAATAAAATCTGTAAGAGCTGCCTCTTTATTTCTGCACTTCGTGTAGTTAATTGGCTCACAATACTTTTCTTTCCTGCCATGCTAGTCAAGATATTTTTTTGAAGTTGGTGCAGGTTCTCAAGTAAGGCAGTACTGTTTCTTGGGAAGTGAAGTGTTTACTTTTTGCTAATCTAAGGAATAAGGTAAATGTTGTATTGAGCAAGGTATGCAGAAACTAAGAAATAACCTCACATGGAAGTGTAGAGAATGGCTTGCAGACTGTAAGTTTTAATCACAGCTTTAACTGTTGTGCTGTGACTTTTTGTCATCTTAGGCAAAAGTGTTACTTATGGCAAATTTTTTTTGAATCAAAAAAGGAATATGTTTAATGTAGTTTACTCCAAAATATGACCAAAAAGTTCAACTCTTTGGAGACTGATATGCAAATTTTCTAATTTCCTATTTTTCAGTTAATGGTGAGACATCTTCCTCTGTACCAGAAACTGGTAATTCTTCTGTCTCTGAAGCTATGGTAGGTTCAGAAGCTCCCATGTCTACAGATTGCACTAACACTACAGCAGAACCTCAATCAACAGAAGAAGCAGCTAGCTGTTCTGAAAGCCACACTTCTACGCTATCCGTTGTGTCTGCTGGACTAGAAGCTTCAACTACTACAGACTGTGCTCAGCCTAATACCACAAACAGTACAGCAGCAGATGCAGCAAAACCAAGGGAATCCTCCTCAGCCTCAAGTGCATCAGGAGAGCCTGTAAGACAGCAGACTGTTAGTGCTGGCTCAGAACCTTTACCAGCAGGGTATGTGGGCTTGATTTTAACACTGTTATTGTGTTTTGTCTTAATGTGTGTACAGAGAAATCACAGTTTAATTCCCTACAAGGGCTGCCAGAGATGGGGTTATATGATCTAAAATGAGGTTTGTACTATTCTGTAACTGGCTGGTAGCTTATGTCCCAGAAACTAGCAGCTGATCATTTATTTTCTGAGACAGTAACATAATAGAGAAATTCTTGGGCATTATGGATATGAAGAAGTTTCATTTGATATATTCAAGCTTACTTGGGTCATAATTCATTGCTGCATTGGTTCTTACACTGTGGGTATGTAGTAGGGACTAAAATATGAAGAAACAAAAATGAATAAAATAGTCTAGAAAGTAGATTCTTGCAGTGTAGGTGTGTAACCAATTATATTAAAAATACAGTGTTTGTATGTGCTCAGAATAGCTAGAAACTTTTAGTTATCCCAAACAGAAACTACTGCTGTAGTCTTAAACCTTAAATGCAAAGTCAAAGATGAGCTTAAACATCAAATCAAAACATATTATGTACTCAAATACATATCTGAATTTTTATTTATTTATTTATTTATATTGAGATCTACTTCTTGTTTGGGTGCAAAGATGTCCTCAGTAACTAGTTGAAGATGTGGAAGTTTTTGTGGTATTCTAAATATTATTTTAGCATCTTTTTTAACACCAAAGTAGTTACTTGCTGGAAGTATATATGCATTGTGCCACTGTGGCTGATCTTTCTGAGATCTGTCTCAGATCTTCCTGTATCTGCTCTCTCTGAAACAGGTTCAGTAAGTAATTAGTGACTTTTCACTTGAATTCCTGTAGATAAACATGAAAATGGGAATCTCAAAAGTCAGAAGTACTGCAAATACTTTATTGAGCAGATGTCACAAGGTTCTTAATTTTCAATTATTTTGACAAAGAAAATCCTTTATAGGAGGGAATTTCTCTTATTTCCCCTCCCCACTTTTCTTCTTTAGTTATATGCTTTCCCACTGGCAGGGTCTTGAATTCAGGCCTATTGGACACTATGTCTGAATTCATTACTTTGCCATTGTTCCCTGATTGAGTTTCCTTCCTCACAAATTTATTCGAATCTCCATTACGTTTAGCCTTATTAACTCTCTAACATGCTTCTACTCCTCTTTTATGACCTTATAATCTTAGCATTTAAGCTCTTGAACTACAAAAGAATTTGTAGAAATTTTATGAATAGCAAGTAAGATGTTCTGCTTGCATTTTTAGGAGATAAGTAATTATGCTTATATGAAAAACATAAATCTAACACAAGTAAGGTCTTCAGTTCATTGTCTAACATGTAATAATGGGAAGGGAAATGGGGATAAATATTGCATCATGACAGTCCTCAGCAGCACAAATCTTGAATTGCTCATAATGTTTTATCCATCTTCATTGTAAGAGCTTTGCAACCAAAACTGAAGAAATAATCCCCAGGAAAATCAGGTAGAGAAACAGGACAGAAAGTAGAAACATGGGAGAGTTATCTGCTAGCACACATTTGAGATTCACTTTGAAAGATTCTGTTGTTTATTGGATGAGACATGCTTGGAAATGCAAATAATTTGTTTCTAAACTTTTAAAATGAAGCATTCAAACCTGAAGCAGATAATCACTTTCATTTTCAGATACCTCAAATAGAATTTAGAAGTACTTCTGAATATCAGTGTGTGTTCATTTTAGATTCCACATCCCGTAAAGAAGCCTTTATGGTGGTACCAGTTCAAGCAGGAAGTAAATGTATTTTATATGTATTTTAGTGTGCATTGCCTTCAGTGTTTTAGAATGTTTTAGAATTGTTTTAGAATTGTAGGGTGTTCATTCAGTAACAAAATGGTTTTTTTTGGCTTACTGGGAAATAAGCCCTAGGGAAATATTTTCGCCTTGACTTACATGAAAGTCTTTTTCGTCCTGAAGGTGGGAGCAAAGAAAGGATCCTCATGGGAGAACCTATTATGTTGATCACAATACACGAACTACAACGTGGGAAAGACCACAGCCCTTGCCTCCTGGGTACTGTAGACTTTTCTTGATTTAAAGTTGATAATGCTGCTATGTTCTTTTTCTTCTAATGCACAACAAAAAAACAAACCCTACTGTCTTGGTTTTAATGAGCAGCTCATTGAAAATGTATCATACATTATAAATTAAGAAATCTTAACATGCAGTTAGCTTAGAACTGTGTTAATTTCCATAAGAATATTGGTGTATGTCTACGTATTTCATTCTGATCACTTGTTCAAACACAGCTGCTGAATTATGTTGTTCTTCCTGTAAAACTTCAGTGTTAAAATAATGAAGATTTTACCATCTTTATTTAGATGGCATGACTAGTGTGGTGCAGTGATTACCAACCTCTGATTCCCAGGCGATATTGGATTTTCTGTGAAACCTGACAATATTGATCACTGTCACAAGAAGTTACACAGTTAAAACTGAGGGTGACAGTGTGAGACAAGGATGTAATGTTTGCCCAGTGTGCTTTGCTCCCCAGCCAGTAAAGCTGGAGAGTGCTTTTGTGTACTTTAGAAATTAAGATTAAGCCTATCATTCCAGAACTCCATTCAAATAATATCTGGGATCTTAGCATAAAGAGAAAATGAGCTATGCAATATTACTGGAAAGTTTAGCTGTTAATGTTTGTGTTTCTTGATAGCTGGGAAAGAAGAGTTGATGATCGTGGAAGAGTTTACTATGTGGACCATAACACCAGAACAACGACATGGCAGCGGCCAACAATGGAATCAGTCAGGAACTTTGAGCAGTGGCAGTCTCAGCGTAATCAACTGCAGGGAGCTATGCAACAATTTAACCAACGATACCTCTATTCGGTAAATTCTGTATAAACTTTAGAAACTTCAGAAGAGAGATACAGCTATATTTCCCTTTGAATTGGTTCCCTAATTTGAGCCTGCATGAAACTGAAGACTTTTAACGATAGCAGTAACTGGTAAAAGTAAAGCACTCCCTTAACTGAAAAGGAGTGTAAAACCTGTATTATGAGCACTTTATATATTAAGTGGCATTCAAAATTTCTTTAGTGATTAGGAGTCTCTCATCGGTACAGGTGGTAATTCTTTTTCTTTGAGCTCATTTTGAAGCTTAGGGGACTGGTTCAACTCTGGAATTTCAAACATGGCTTTCCATTTCTCTCATGTGGTGGCTTACTTAAATCTACTGGTAAAAACTATCATGAGCAGTTTCAAAGACTACATTAGCCTGGAGGAGAGAAAGCTCCACAGAGACCTCACTGTGGCTTTTCAGTACTTAAACGGGGCTTAAAAAAAATGGGGAGTGACTTTTTTACCTGGGCAGATAGTGACGGGACAAGGGAGAATAGTTTCAAACTAAAAGAGGAGAGATTTAGATTAGATGTGAGAAGGAATTTTTTTTACTTGGAGAATGGTGAGGTGCTGAAACAGGCTTCTCAGGGAAGCTGTGGATGATCCCTGGAGATGTTCAAAGCCAAAGCTGGGTTGGGTGGGGCCCTAGGTAGCCTTATCTTGTGGATGGCAACTCTGCTTACAGCTGAGGAGCTGGAACTAGATAATCTTTAATGTCCCTTCCAACTCAAGTCATTCTGTAAATCTAGTATTGAGTTATTGAGACTTTTTTTTTTTCATTTCTGACTGGATAAATGCAACAGTTTTTTATGTTGTTTTGTTTTTGTTTTCCTCCATGGCACTTGTGTATCACTTTTCTAAACACTTCCTTGTAAGACTTGGGTTCATTCTCTTATATTAAGATCTAGTCCTAGAGACTTCACAAATGAAACACAGCTGGAATGCTTGAAGGAGAAACAACTTCATTTTGACTTCTGCTCTAGGACTGTGTGCATTAGGAAGGCTAAATTTCCTCTAAATTTAATAAACTTCTTTCAAGTATCCTGTCTGAAATGAAGTAGTTTGCAGTATTCTTGTGTATAATACTTCTCAGCTTTTTGTTACCTAATTAGACATATCACCAGCAATTGCAGAAATATGTATTGCCACTGATTTTCTTCAGTCCTGTGCTGTGCATCATAGTCTATTTAACCAACACAATTATAGAATAATTGTGGTTGGAAGAGCCATCTTTGTGGCTCTTCATTGGACCCTCTCCAATAGCTGCGTATCTCAACATGTGGCCTCCCCAGTGCTAAGTAGAGTGGAGTGATTACCTCTGTTGACCAGCTGGCAGTACTTTGCTACCCAGAATAAATTTAGCCATCTTAGAGCAAGGACACATTGCTGGCTCTTGTTAGACTTGTCCACTGTGACCTTGAGTTACTGTTCTGCATAGCTGCTTTCCAGCTGAGTTGCTCCCAGTCTGGATTTATTCCTTCTTGGGTGCAGGACTTTGCACTCATTCCTGTTTAACTGCACGAGGCTCCTGCCATCACCTTTCTCCATTCTGCTATGTCCCCCAGCATGACTCTTTGATGTATCAGTCCCATCACTCTTGGTTTTATGTAATCTGTGAATTTACCAGGGGCGCATTCTACCTCATTGTCTGGGTCATTAATGAAGATATAAAACAATACTGGACCCAGTATTAACTCCTAGAGTGCTCTGTCTGTTACTGGATTCAACTAGACTTGACACCACTGACAGCTTCTTTTTGGGTCTGACTAACCAGTTTTCAGTCTGTCTTCTCATCCAGAATGTACTTCAGTGGCTTGTCTATGAGGATCATATGGGAAACAGTTTCAAAGGAAGGACTTACTGAAGTTGAGGAAGGCAATATCCATTGTTCTCTCCTCATCTATCAGGCCAGTCATTGCATCATAGAAGCACAGCAGACAGGTCAAATGTGACTTCTGCTTAGTAAATCCACATAGAGTCTTTCTGATAATATTCTTGTCCTTCACATGCCTGGAAGTGGTTTCCAGAATTAGCTGTGCCATTGCCTTCCCAGGGACTGAAGTGAGGCTGACCAGTCTGTAGATCCCTGGGTTCTTTTTCATGCCTCTTGTGAAGAAAGTAATTTGATTTCCTCCAGTCTTCAAGCATGTCTCCCAGTTGCCATGACTGACTGAAGATTATCAGCAGTGGCCTCAAAGTGACATTTACCAGCTCCCTCAGCACTCCCTTGTCAAGGCCCATGGATTTATGAATGTCTCTGACCTGATCTGCCTCCACCAAGGGTACATCTTCATGGCTTGGGCTTGATGATCTCTAGAGGTCCCTTCTAACCTCTACAATTTTGTGACCAGACTTTCTACCTGGTCTCTGGGACCCTGGATTCCTGAAGACCAGTCTTGCTAGTAAAGACTGAGGCAAAGAATGCCTTCAACCTTCTATGCGTTCTGTACAACCAGATCTCCTGTCTCATTCAGCAGTGAGCCCACATTTTCCTTAGTCTTCTTCTTGTCACTCATGTAGTTAAAGAAGTATATATGTCTTGTTGCCATTGACATCCCTAGTTAGTGTCAATTTTGCTAGGGCTTTGGCTTTCGTAACCTCATCCCTGCATGCTCAAAGGATGTCTCTATTTCTTGGAGATTACCTGTTCCTGCTTCTGCCTTCTGTGTGCTCCCTTTCTGAGTTTGAATCTAATGAGAAGCTAATTGTTCGTCCAGGGAGATATGGGGATTGTAAACCATTGCTTTTTGCTGCTTGAAATTTTTGTATTTTTTTTCCTAGATTTGTTGACTTGTTTCTAATAAGTACTGAAATTTTACTGAATTCTCAGCTCAGCTGGAGTGCTGTTTGCTCAGATCGTGCCCTGTCATTATTACTTTGTGCCAATCTGTTCATACTGTCAGAACTGTTAGCTGCTTAGACATTGCTTAAAACATAGGGACAGACTTTATCATCTCATTTTGGTAAGTTGCTAGAGAGCAGTATTAATGAAAAAATGGCAATTACCATTCAAATATGGGTGATTTGAGAAATGTTGATATTGAATTGCATATCTATTCGAAAGAATAAAAAGAAGCTGATTCTTGATTTAAAAAAAAAAAAGCAAATCTTCCATTGCTATCTTTAGAGGCAACTTGAAAAATAAAAAAGGAGGCATACAGATGACTTAGCTGCAAATGTGATAATTGCAGCTGAAGCCAAGAAGTGTCGTTCTCTGTTTTTATACTACTTTGATGAGTTGCTTAAACATCTCAGGAAACTAACTTCTCCTGATCTGAGATTTATTTGGTTTTTAGTTAGATTTATTCTCTGAGAGAGCAGTGTATTTTTTATTTAGATCATGTTTCTTTATTGATTTAATGATAACTCTCGCTAAACACCATAGATTTATTTCTCACTTTCTGACCTTATAATCATCCAATTGGAATTTGTCAGACAGAATATACTTGAAGGAGGAGAAGAGATAATTGGACTGTTTGCATCCCTCTCACATCTCTTTATGGCTCTGTTTTTTAGGTAGCATATCCGTTGCATCCTTAGAACTCACATTTTTGAGGAGAAGAAAAATTGAAATGCTATGAAATGCATGCTAGAAAGTATGAGTGGTTGGTTTTTTTTCTTTCCATTTTTATCTTTTAGGTAGGTGCTTCTATACACTTCTCAAACTGTTATAGTCAAATGAGGTGACTTGTCTTCCTCTGACACACCAGAACTCTGCTTATATAGCAGCTTCTGAGTAACATAGTTTATTTTCTGGGAAACCATAATTTAATCCTTTTAATAAACAGGTTGAAATTTCGGCTGTCTTGAGTGATCAAAGATAAGTTATGTGAAGGAAATAATAATCACAGCCTTACCATTCTTACAGTTATTCTCGTTTTTGTTCTTTTTTTCTTTTTCTTTCTGTTGAAAGTACTCTCCTGGAATTGATGTTTTTCATTATCTTGCTGTTGTTTTATGCATCGCTTTCTAGCTTCCTTCTCTTTCGTTGTGTTGTTATAAGAGTAGCTAGTCCTTTTCCTTTCTTACCATCTTTTTCATGGAATATAGCAGCACCATATTGCTACTTAGACACTTCATGTAAGGAAGTAAGTGTAAAATAATTTATACTTGAGCCAAATCCATTGTTACTTGGACCCAGGTGTAGACTAATTCTAATACTAATTTCAAAATATTTAATGTGATTAGTGTTGCTTCAGACTTTGTTTTCTTATCTTGTAACTTGCACATAGGTAGTTGCAGTATACATTTCTGAAATTGCTGTTTTTTAGTAAATATCACATATGTCAACTATTTATATTCAAATGAATTAGGGAAAAACAGAATAGTTATTTGTGGGAAAAAAAATTCAATATTCATTCAAAGTAGAAGACTTAAAAAAAAGAGTTTTGGAAGATTAACATTATTTAAAAACTGCGACTTGTGTATAATATAAAGGTAGTAAATGATAAATATGTTAGAAATGGTCAAATATTGTGGTTTGTTTTCTTAAATATACTGTTTAATTAAGAACATAGCATTTGTTGGCCACATATAAATAATTGGGCACATTAAAAAGATGAGAGAACTCTGAATTATTCCACCATTCACTTCCTTTGCAGTTAGCATTTTCCACTGTGTGCTATTGTTCTTACACATACTACAGAGAAATCTCTGGTTACAAGGTCATAGTGACTATATACAATCCAAAAGCAGAAAATAATAACTTCATTTACTTCTGAGATGATAGTAATTCTCTCTTTTTGAGTATGTGCATTGCATTTTCTTACGATCCTTGCTCTGCTTCTGTATCACAGGGGAACACCAAAAAATACTGTAGCCTTTCTTATGTGAATTTGCTGTTTGGAAGCTCTTAGGGCTTGAGAATTTTTGTATTGCAAATGTTATTTAAAACTAAAGCAGTACTGGCAGAAAGCTGATCCTTAAGATACTCTGGAAAATGTAGATTGGTTTCCACTTATCAAAATTTAATTCTGTGGAAAAGAACAACATAACCAGGCAAGCAAGCTTCACCATTGTAAAGGTTTTAAAGAGGGTGCTTTTAGTTATAAATTAGAGCACAGATCCTGTGGTCTGGGGTCATTTCTGCCTTATATATTCTATTCATAAAATGTTTCAAACTCTAATCATACCATATTTTGTATCCTTGGGAGCTACTGGAGGACTTCTGCAAGTTTACAGTTTACTTTAGAAGTTTAGTATGGTTCTTCATAGTATTTTAATCTTTTCTTAAATTATTTTCCCCTTTAACCTTGCTGTATTATATGAAAAACATCTGAATGTTTTAATGGAATGCAAGTGTTCTGACAAAGAAAGACAAATATTTGAAATAGCTATAAAATAGCTATTGAAAATAGCAGAGAAGACATCATCTACTGAGGATATGAAAAAATACTTTAATTGGCATTAGACTTTGTGTTTTAACACATACTTTGAATTTTTAATTAATAATAAAGTCTTTTCTTAAGCAGGAAGTGCACATCTTTTCATATAACTTTTGTGAACCGCACAATTTTTAAAATCACTGGCTCTCTCAAGTTTACAAGAAGAAGGAAAAGTATGGTATGTAGGGTTGGAAACAGTGGAGGCAAAAGAACAAATCATAAATTGTCACACAATTATGTTTTTCTACCAAAACAGACTAAAAATGGCATGCTATCCAAGAGGTGTAGTCTACACAGCTAGTGGTAAACTTTAAACATATTATGGGAAAAAATAATGACTAGTATTTGGCCTAACTGGATGTACTCTTGTTTATAAATAGGCTTCGATGTTGTCAGCAGAGAATGATCCACTTGGGCCTTTGCCACCGGGGTGGGGTAAGTTAATTAGCTGTTGACTTCAACAGATGACAGTTAGAGAAATTTGGAATGCAATTATTGTATAGTTTGTGTGTGTTTGTTTGTTTGTTTGTTTTCTCTTTTTCCCTAGAAAGGAGAGTGGATTCAAATGATAGGGTGTATTTTGTAAATCATAACACAAAGACAACGCAATGGGAAGACCCTCGAACTCAAGGGTAGGTGTGTATATTGACTGTATAAATGAAAAGATCTTGCTTAATTATCACTTTAAAAGTCATGATATAGGCAGGAGGCAAAAATTACCGTCTTTGTTTTTTTCCTACAGTTTACAAAACGAGGACCCTCTTCCGGAGGGCTGGGAAATCAGATACACTAGAGAAGGTGTACGATATTTTGTTGATCATAATACAAGAACTACCACCTTCAATGATCCTCGTACCGGGAAGTCTTCTGTGTAAGTGAGGAAGTGTAAAAGTATTTTCTAACATTTTCATTTGTTACATTTCAGTGATGCAGTTCTTCGCATACCAGAAAACAGTCTATGCTTCTAGCTAGAATTGAGCAATAAATTATAAACATGTTGTTTTCTTGTAAACCTATTTTCAACCTTTAATTGTCAATTTCTCTGTGCCACGCTTCACCGTACTACTGTAAGGTTCAGTAGTTTCTATGCACCGTTCAAATACGAAGATTGTAATTGCACTGTAAATTGAGAAAGGAAGTGAGGTAAGCTAGTACGTCATAAATTCAACTAATATAACTAATAAACAATTTTAATGGAAACAATAAATGATTGTAAGATGTGTTGCTTATAGTTAGACACGCTCCAATAATATTAATGGCTAAGCAAACAAGTTCTGAATACTTGTCAAAATTTTACTTGCAGATCTTCTGTTTCTAAATAGGTTAATCAGAAGTGTTGACCCAGCTGATGGTGTCTGTCTTAATGCCTTTTGTGTACAGTAGCATTTACGGAGCTTACCTTTGATGTGTCAATGCCATTTCCTCCAAAGAACCTGTAGATTGCTGTACTATAAATTTCTTCTTGGTTCCACAAACAGTTGAAGCCTTTATTACCTATGTTAACCCCTGGTGTGTGTTGATGTGATTAAGATCATACTGCAATCTTTCTCTCGGTGAATACAACATAATAGATGTCTTTCCTTTACCTGGCTTTTAATTTTTACAAAATTGATAGATATTAGAAATCCTCAGAATCTGTACTCTCCTAAATTGAGTAATACCTTTAACAACAACAGCAAAAAGGTGTAGCAATGGTGAGGAATGGAAGACTGGCCAACCAACCGTTTTGTTTATTTGGGAAATAATACAAAAACAAGTTGGGACATGTATTAAGAATTTCCATTTGTGATCGTATCTTCTGATTGCAATCTTTTGTGCATTTTTGAAATCTGCAAGCTTTTGTTTGGTGTTGAAAGTTCTGTTTGATGTCTGTGTGGTTAATGTATCTCAAATATATTCCCTTACAGAAATAAAGGGCCACAGATTGCCTATGAGCGTAGCTTTAGGTGGAAACTTGCTCATTTCCGTTACTTGTGTCAGGTACTGATTAAGTAATTACTCAGTTTTTGAGTCTTTTTGAATTTTCATAAATGTATTTTATGCCTTGTAACATTATTACTTTATGATTACAGTCCAATGCACTGCCAAGCCATGTGAAAATCAATGTATCCAGACAGACTTTGTTTGAGGATTCCTTCCAGCAAGTAAGACCGCAAAATTTGTCATGTTTATAAGCTGAAGTTTTTCAGCTTCAGTCTGTAGCCAATGTATATTCTTTCTTCTCTGTGATTATCAGAATGCTTGCTGCCCTTGTTCCATCAAAGCTTCTTTTAGTAGGGTCCTCTATAAACTAAAAGTATATTATCAGTGAAAGTATATTTCACTTTAGATTAGAGGAAATCATGTTTTTAAGTTAGTTGTCTAAACTCCCAAATCTACAATATGTGAGATGAAAAGCTTTTTAGCCAGTTTTCCTTTAAGATTGGCAAATACTGTATGGCTTTGGAAGAGTATAAGAACAGGGCAGCCGTATAGTGATAATTTCCAGATAAGCTCTTGCTTATCTGTTGCTCAAGGATTTTGAATCTGAGTTGGCATTTTTGTGTTCAGTTCCTTGAATGCATGTTCTATGAGTTGATGTAATTGCTTTTCAAATCTTTGTAAACATTTGTCCTATATGGTATATCTGTAACAATTAAGTCTAAATTTGGAGGAGCAATTGCACTGAAAATACATTGTTTATAATTTAGATTGAATTTTGTGTGTTTCATAGATTATGGCATTAAAACCCTATGATTTGAGGAGAAGATTATATGTTATATTCAGAGGAGAAGAAGGATTGGATTATGGTGGATTGGCAAGGTAAAATAAAATTTATTTGGAAGTGTTATTTTTCCCCCCCCTTTTTTTTTTATGGCATTCTAATCTTGATTTCTAATGTCATTCTATTCAGAAAGTAACTGCTTGCTTTTACAGTCTTGTCTAGGTTAATTCTCTAGCTCCCCTTAATGTATTAAGGAGGTAGAACTAGCAGCTCTGGCAATTGTTATGAGTACAAATTATATTAGTAAAACTATGATCTCACTTGTGTTCATTGACAAAGACTGATGCTTACATTGGATTTTAGTTTTTTTGAGCCAATAAATTTCTCTAGACAGAGTTATTTCAGAAAGTTTCTACCAAAAAGTTCAGCTTTGTTGAAAATAGGGATTGTGGAGTACATAATTTTTGCTTATTTAGGAAAAAATCAAACAGACAAATACCAGGTTAGGGGATGATATGAGCAGGATGGCAGTGAGCAAGGAGAGACCAGTGCAGGTGTGCAGTAATGGTGGAGGACTTTGCAGGCTGTGTAGGAATACTCAAAAGCTAGAGCACAAGTTTTTCTAGAATATGAAGTGGATTCAAAAGAATTTTAACAAGAAAATCAGGTAAAGTGCATTTCCTTTATTGTCCATATAGTGGATAACCACTGACTGCTGCAGCCAATTACTTGACTGAGGTGCTGCTAGTAGGATGAAAATGTCAGTTACCACTGCAGGTCCACAGAACTAGATCTAGTGGTAGGTGATAGAGATTTTCTTTGCTGTGTTGTTTTTTTTTTTTGTAGTTGTTGTTTGTTTTTTTTCTTTTCTCTTTTAAAATGAGTTATGTTTTGGTTTTGTTCTGTTTCCAGCTAACTTACTCTGTTAAAATGTGCAGTATTTGTAAGTAAGTAAGGAAACCTTTTTTTGTGAACATTGAGCTTTTTTTGGATATGTGTGTGCTTATGTTTCTGAATTACAGTATTATAAAAAAAATTTTTGAGTACTGCAGGAAGAAATTATTATTGTTATTATTATTATTATTATTATTATTATTATTATTATTATTATTATTATTATTATTATTATTATTTTCCATGAGTTTTGTTTGGTTTGGTGATCCTATGATGTTGACCCTGGGCTTAAGCTGGGAACCGGGAGAGTCCAAGTAACCTGTTCCAGAGAAACAGAAATACTCCAGAGAAAAATAATTGAACTTGAAGATATCAGTCACAAAGTATGGCAGAATAAATTAAGAAAAGAAATATGCAAGTAGTAAAATTCCATAGATTTTGTAATAAATCTTGCCCAAGACATGGGATGTGAAGTAAGAAACAGCAAGGATCTCCTTGTAATTCAGCTGAGAGTTCTTAAATAAGTGCTCACGTACTGACTTGCTAATGCAGTGCTGTGTTAACGCAAGTATTGAAAGCCAATGCACCTGATTAATCATCCTGTCTTTTAGCTGGCTAAACTCTGTGTGTGTTCCCTCCAGATTTTTACCTTGTTTGGCAGGACCAATCTGAATTCTTTATCCTGTGGCTAGTTCTAGCTGTTAACATGAAAAAGATGTTGCTTCTACAAATTTCTTGCTGGTGACTGATTTGTTTCTTTTCTTGCTGTCTGGCTGTGATATAATTTAAAAGCTTATTAAATTTGATACTGCTATACAGAGTTAATATAATTGGTGGAGTCACCGACCCTGGGGGTGTTCAAGGAAAGACTGGATGTTGTATTGAGGGACATAGTTTAGTAGGAGCTATTGGGAATAGGTGAACGGTTGGACTGGATGATCTTTTAGGTCTTTTCCAACCTTGGTGATTCTATGATTCTATGATTCTATGAATTGTCTCAGTAAAAAACTTGCATAAAATGGTGTACAACATTCTTGTGCTTATTAGAAGATGCACAGAACCCAATTAGGGCTGTTTTATCCTAGCTGCCTTTCTCTGTTATTCTTTCTAAATAGCTTTTGAGTTAGAAGCATATTTTATCAAGTTGTGATCCATTACTTAAATTTCACTGAACTGTTAGGAGAAACACACCTGCAAACCTCTCATTCTCTAAATCTCCCCTGACCCGGTTTGAAGCCATTCCCTCTGGTTCTATCACTAGTTGCAAGAGAGAAGAGGCCGACCCCCAGCTCACTACAACCTCCCTTCAGGTAGTTACAGAGAGCAATGAGGTCTCCCCTGAGCCTCCTCTTCTCCAGACTGAACAATCCCAGCTCCTTCAGCTGCTCCTCATAAGCCCTGTGTTCCAGACCCCTCACCAGCTTTGTTGCCCTTCTTTGAACCCGCTCCAGGGCCTCAATGTCTTTCTTCCAGTGAGGGGCCCAAAACTGGACACAGTACTCAAGGTGTGGCCTCACCAGAGCTGTGAACAGGGGTACAATCACTGCCCTGTTCCTGCTGGCAGCACTAGTTCTGATACAAACCAGGATGCCATTGGCCTTCTTGGGCCACCCGGGCACACTGCTGGCTCATGTTCAACTGAGCATCAATCATTCCTCCCAGGTCCATTTCCTCTAAGCTGCCTTCCAGCCACTCTGCCCCAAGCCTGCATCTTATTATAATTTCAGGTCAGCTGAGTTGGAATCTATGAAACCAGGGAATGAAATGTATTAAGCCTCAACAAAAAAGTATTTTCATATCTTTGTGTCCTGTTGGCTTAACTGGTGCACGGTAATTTGTTAAATTGCCATAACTCAGTGTCTGTTTTGCTGACAGACTGGGAACGGAAATAAGATGATGTTTCATTTTACCTGGATTGTTCAGAACTTTTAAAATAGAGATTTGAATCATATGCAGTAAAGCAGGCATGGTGAGGGTGGATTCTGTGTAACTCCTGGGCAGCTAAAACCTATGCTATGAGAATGTGTTCAAGGAGAGAACAATCATTTCTAAGAGCTGAAAATGGTGACTCTGTGGCATTATAGTTTTTATGGATTGATAGTTTTTAAAGTGCATAAAGCTTTATATTTTTCTATGGCTGTAATACAACACTGTTAACATTATTTTTCCAAGTTTGCATTTATTTTGACCATTTCATTAGATGCTTAAAGGGAATGGTGATAAAGATGTGTGTGTGTGTATTTGATAGTTTTTATATGTATACCTGTTGGTTTTTTTTTCCATAGAGAATGGTTTTTCTTGCTCTCCCATGAAGTACTGAACCCTATGTACTGCCTATTTGAATATGCTGGCAAGAGCAACTATTGCCTACAGATAAATCCAGCGTCAACAATCAATCCTGACCATCTTTCATATTTCTGTTTCATTGGGCGTTTTATTGCCATGGTAGGTTAGAGTTTTAAAGTTTTATTGTTTCTTGTGTTTATACAATTATTTCTAAATGGTATTATTTTTACAGTTTTAATTTAAGCAAGTCCACCTGAAACGTTTCTGAGTGTTATGTTTCTTACATGCTGCATTTTCCTGGGATGGTGATGGAAATGAATATGAAATTCAAAATAACATTTTAATCTTGTCAATTAGACGTGTGTTCTTCATGTAAACAGTTGTCTTATTGCCTGAATACTGATGCTCTGACAAATGTGACTAATATTTTTGTAAAAAGGTTCCTCAGTTAAACTTGGTACGTCAGTATGTTAGAAAAAATGTGTTAAAAATGTTTTGCAAGTACATCGTATCCAAATATGTGTTTAAATTAAGGTTCAGAGGTCACATACATGGAAAAGCAGAAGCTTGCTGGGGAGTTTATAGCATCCTGAATCACTGCCATTATGTTTCTCTTAAAGCTATAAGCTAAACAGAGATGTTATATCATTTCTCCTCGTATCACTGAGCCTAGTATCTCTAATGGAGTTTTGCTATAACATGTCCTTTCATCTGGAGATAGAGGAAACTGCAGTGCCATTTAGCAGGAAGATGTGGTAAAGCAAATTATGTGCTAGAATCAAATTCTGTTTATTTTTGTAGTGATTTTTGTTCATAGGCATCATATAAATACTTTTTAATTGAGAAATCTACCTCATTAAAGAAGAGAATTTAATTCAAGTATTTAAAGTCATTAAAAGTCAAACTTTTCTTTCTTGAAACAGTTTGATATTTTCATTTTAAATTCTCTAAGAAAAAGAGACTAGTATAATAGTGCCTAATGTACATAGTTTCAAGGTTTGAATGGCACTAACTGCTCTACTTCCTGGAATACCTTCTAATGGCTTAAAATAGCTCAAGCAATAACCTAAATGTGAATCATTTTAAGGATTCTAGATGGTTGTAATAAGTGCAGTTACAGCTTCTGCTTGTCTCGGAATTCTAGAAGACTTGCTGCTTTCAGACCATAAAAACTTCACTTGACTTTAAGTATTGAAATAGCCACTGACCTTTTTGACTGCAGTGGAGTTAAATGTAAATATATGTCTTGTATTACTCCGTGTTACTCTCTTACTTGCATTACTCTTAACAAAACAAAATTCTTAAATGGCAGTTGATATCTGCGTGCTACAATTGCTCTGTTTGCTGTAAGATTACCGTCGCTATTAAACGAGATGATTTAAGACTGTACTTTTACAAAAACAATACAAAACAAACAACAGGAAATCATATGGCTGGATAATGCCCTCAGTGTTTATTTTGTCCAGTTCTACCAGTTCACTCTTCCATGAGAATTGTAGACTAGTTTAAAAGTAAACAAACGAAAAAAGGCCTCATGTCTTTATGCATGCTAGGGTAATCCTGAGAGGAGAAATGAGAATGTAGCGCAATCAAATGCAATGTTATCTTTTTCTGGAGAAAATGGGATGTTATGCTGGTTCTTTTTCTTAATATTTCAGCTTTAAGGAGAGTCAAGCAATAAATGCCTTACTGCAGCCTATTTTTAGAATGATTTAGAATGTATTTGCAGCCCAGAAGGCTGAGTTCCATCAAAAGAGAAGTAGCCAGCAGGGTAAGGGGGGGTGATTGTCCCCCTCTATTCTACTCTCATGAGGCCCCCTCTGGAGTACTGCGTCCAAGCCCCCAACACAGGAAAGATATGAAGGTTTTGCAGAGGCTCCAGAGGAGGGCCACAAAGGTGATCCAGAGGCTGGAGCACCTCTCCTGTGGAGACAGGCTGAAGGAACTGGGCTTCTTCAGCCTGGAAAAGAGAAGGCTGTGAGCAGACCTCACTGCAGCCTTCTAATATTTAAAGGGAGTTTATAAAGATGAGGGAAATCAACTTTTTACAGAGACCACTGGACAGTGATAGAACAAGGAGAAATGGTTTTAAACTGAAGGAAGAGAGATTTCAGGGGAAGTTTTCTACTGAGATAATGGTGAGGTGCTGGAACAGATTGCCCAGAGAGGTTGTGGAAGCCTCATCCCTGAAGGTTTTAAACAGGCCAGGGTACATGGGGCCCTGGGCAGTCTGATCTAGTACTTGATCTAGTGGCTGGTAACCATGCCTGTAACAGGAGAGTTGGAACTTCATGATTCTTGGAGTCCTTTCCAACCCAAGCCATTCTGTGATTCTCTGATTCTGATGTTTAAGAGGTAATTCAGTAAAGAATGTATAGTGGATTAGAGTGAGAAAAATTAATAGAATATAAGGTACTACTGTGAAAATATCAGCTTTCAGAAGAACTGAGTCTGTATAGAGGTTAATACTGTGTGCATGCAGTGATGTTTGCATAATATTGTGATTCAGTGCTGCTAACTGGGTCACATCATGTGTGTGTATGTAGTGAGGCATTTTTGTAGTGTGATTTTTGATAGGAAGAGTCTAATTTCTCTTTTTTTTTCCCATAAAGAAGGTGATTCTGAAAGCTCTTTCAGAAACATCAATTGCATTTTTAATTATTTTTACAAGCTGTAGTAGCATTGTGTAAAGGATGATTTTGCAGGATGTATGCACGTAGTGAAGATGGTCAGTAGTATTCAGGTAGGATCAAAAAACATACTCAAGTAGGATTAAGTAACACTTGGCATACATACCTATCCACATAATAAGGAGGAAACATAGCAATTTCCTCATAAAATGGCTATATCCTTTTGTGAAATGCTTTTTTTATTGTACACTTGAATAAATTTTGTCAATTAAACTTAGTACTCACTTAATGTAACATTGTTTTTGTTTATTTGTTGAAGTACAAAGCTGCTACTTCTGCTTTTTATCACTTGAAGGAGAAAAGAATACAAGTCCAGCAATTCAGTAATTCAGTAAAAGCTGAACAGACTTTCTTTTTCTGTTTCAACAGGCATTGTTTCATGGGAAATTTATTGACACCGGCTTTTCTTTGCCTTTCTACAAACGAATGCTGAGCAAGAAACTTACTATTAAGGATCTAGAATCTATTGATACTGAATTTTACAACTCGCTAATTTGGATAAGGTTTGTAGATTTCTTTCTTTTGGAATTTTTATGGATTACTCTGTTTTAGTATTTATTGTAACCTGTTGTGTTTTTCTTTCTTTTCATTCCTTCAGGGATAATAACATTGAAGAGTGTAACTTGGAAATGTACTTCTGTGTGGATATGGAGCTTTTAGGAAAAGTAACCTCACATGAGCTGAAATCAGGAGGTTCCAATATCTTGGTAACTGAGGAGAACAAAGAAGAGTATATCGGGTAGGAAAGCTTAGATTTCAAAGAAAGTGTTTCATGTTTTAACTGTTGCTTTAGTATTTTTTGACTCAGCATTGTTATTATTGAAATGCTGTCTAAGTTGTTCCACTACAGTGGCTACACTGATGAAAAAGAGCTGGATATGAGATTTTCTGTTCAGCATTTTTACCTTTTGCAAAAGTGGAATGAATAAATGGATAGGCAGCTTGAATTTATTACTTGTGGCATCTTGGTGGTTTTTCCTCTTTGCTCATTTTCCCTTTCCTCCCATTTTTCCCATGCCACAAAACCTCCTGCTTTCCCTTCCCACCCCCTCCCCCCTGAAAAAAAAAAACACAAAAACCAAGACGATGAGGACTTATATCATTACTACTGTTATTATACATGTAATGAGTAAACAGCTGAAATTGAAAATGAGCAAACCTATTTTAATTAATTTCTCATAATGGAAAGAAGTGTGTTTGACAGAAGATTTCAAAATTGTCACTGTGGTAACTTCATGGTAACTTCAAATTGAGGGTGGTGTATAGCGTGGCACAATGTGGTGTGACTTTAACTGGTTTTTGTCTTTGTTTTGTTGTACTGCTCTTTCCTGCTTCTTCTCTATGACTGTCTTTTGTTTTGATCCTCTTTCTGATCAACTTGAGTGATCTCTGAAGAGCATGTACAGAGATCTTTTTCTGTGATAAAGCATGTGTTCCATGCTGTACATAAAGTTCACACCGTAAATTAGTAGTCGTTAATTTTGCAGTGAAATAGTTTCTATAGTATCTACCTACATTTACTGTTACTTTCTTATACTCAGAAATGGCTTGACTATTTTAGTTGAAACTTGAAAAAACCATGTTACCTCTTCCTTCTGAATCCTAGCATAAGTCAGATGTTCAGAACAGAAAATGACAACTCCTTGCTGAAGCTGGAAGTGTTGGGAACCATAGTTATAGCTATTATACTGCAGTAGCACTGCTGCTTATATTTTAAAATTAGTAGAAATCGTTCTTTTTGTCCATTGAAATGCTAGAATTATACATTTCAAAACAAAAGCAAATTTTGCCATAATAAAATCACAGTGCTAAAGTACCATCATTATCATGAAATAATTACTGAATTTAGATTGAATGAAAGATTTATAGTAATGAATCTTTTTTGTTGAATGGGAACGTAAATAACATCCTGCTGTTGTTACTGCCGTTTGAACTTGGAGATTTGTAATAGAATCAGTATGCTAACTTCTTTGTAGGCTGCAGATTCGTACAGTGTGAGAAAGTAAAATAGGAGGGAATGTTGCCTCACTGGGCCACATACATAATTATGTACGTTTCAACTTCTTTATATTGAGTGCTAATTGATGTTTATTTTTTTTTCTTTTTTCCCATCCCAGGCTCATGGCTGAGTGGCGATTTTCTCGGGGAGTTAGAGAACAAACCAAAGCTTTTCTTGATGGTTTTAATGAAGTTGTTCCACTACAGTGGCTACACTACTTTGATGAAAAAGAGCTGGAGGTGAGGTTTTCTGTTCAACATTCTTACCTTTTGCAAAAGTAGAATGAATAAATAGATAGGCAGCTTGAATTTACTACTTATGGCCCAGTACATTTTATATCCTGTGGGACATGGAGAATTTAATAAGAGAAGTAAGGGTAAATCACAAGACAGTATCTTTATTGAATCTGGGCTTTGCATTGTCCAGTGGATGTGAATTTTAGATTCTTTCTTCCATTTTGACTGTGTTTTGCAAGCTTCTATGAAAGAATTGGAATATGAGATCACAGATAGATCAATTTGTTTTAGAAAACTTTTCCCTCTAGAGGACAGCCTTTTAACAGGTGGCACAGGAGTTGATTCTGGTGTGTGGTGATTGCTTGGTTTGATGTGCATAATCTGTGGTAGATTCTGGGATTATTACACTTCAGGACATAAAGCTGTAGGAACCAACAAGGTTTGATAGTAATTTTGTAGATCCTTAGTGCACAGCCTGAGGGCAAATAACAAGTATCAGTTGCACACACAGCTTTCTTAAAAGCCAGCCTAATCTGTGTGTGCTGTTAGGGTTCTGATTTGAAGCAGGAACAAAAGGCTTTGAAGTAGCAGGTTTATTTATTACTGAGAGACTTGCCAAGGCTGTCTGTTTATAATCAGCAGTGTTTTGAAAGTTTTTTGTGTATTTTTTCAGGAGGCTTTGCCTTTAGGATTTTCAGCTTTCATTGCTTCTAATAGTGAATATTTTATGAACTTAAACTTTGCAGTGTATTTTATCTTTTCTTGTAGTAGTAGTAGTAGCAATGTAATTGTCATCATCTTGGATTATGAGGCAAGATTTTAATGTGACAGGTATCATCCTGGTTAACATTGAACTTCCTTTTATGGGAAAGGCTGTATGTTTTATTATTGAATTAGTAATTGGAAGAAATCTCAGTTTCCAATATGTAAACTTTTAGATCAAGTAAAAACACAAACAATTTTGGAGTTCCGCAGACTTTGGCATAAGATTGAAAAAAATTGCCAGACCTTTGTTTGGAACAAGAACTGATGTTTTTGTTAACATGTCTCATACAAGATACTAAAGCAACTCTTAATTTCTGTGTGTAGCTGTGTGCATTGTCAAGTCTCATTGTCTTTTGTAGGTTATGCTCTGTGGTATGCAAGAAGTTGATTTAGCAGACTGGCAAAGGAACACTGTTTATCGTCATTATACGAGGAATAGCAAGCAGATCATGTGGTTCTGGCAGGTATATTGATCAGTAAAAGTTCCAACTTGGGCATTTTACTCTGTTTTCTAACACAAATGACATATAAAGGGGAGGGATGCCATCTGAATGAAGGCTCTCACTTATTCCTTTCTTTTTTATTTTCTGAGACACAAAGGAGTTCTTGAGGAGCATAGTGTAGGGTGGGAAATGGCAGTGAGATACCTGCATCAAATTTGAATGGCTGAATCACAAATACTTATTTTTATATCATGTCCTTTTAACTGACTGTATTACAGTACAGTTTTTTTCTATTGTTGGCAGTGATCTGCCTTCTAAATGTTCATAATGTCGAGTACATCAGAAATGCCACATATTATTTATGATTATCGTCATATTAACTGTGCCAGTCTAGTGCTGACCAATTATAACTCACATTTTAATTGAGTTAGCTAAGAATTATTTTCAGAAAAACAAACTACAAGCAAAACAACAGGCTCTCAGGAGCTATGAATTTCCCAAGAGGAAACTCCCAGCTAAGCATTTCCTGTTTTGTGATAAATGACAATTTTAGATAGGCTTTTGATAAAGTTCCTCTAAAAATGATACAAATCAATTATTTTTAGCTTATCTATGTGTTCAGTGCAATGGAAGATTTCAAGGATACGATTTCTCAGGAAAAAAAACTGATTAAGCTCATTACTGAAAGATTCATGATCATTTTAGTTTTAGTTTAGAAAGAAATAAAAACTCCTCATACTTTGGTGATAGCTGTTGCCAGCTTTTATGTTGTAACAGTGCATATAATGTGAAATCACTGTCTTTTTTCCCCCACCCTCAATTTTACAGAAATGGAGACAGATGAGCTTTTCTCAGTTTCTTTTGAAATGGAATTGTGTGTTTTCAACAGTCTTGTAAGTTTTGTTCTCTCCAGCCTTGTCCAAACTTTTTTTACTAAATTTGAATCTCTGTACCTAGTTTGTAAAGGAGACAGACAACGAGGTTCGCATGCGACTTCTGCAGTTTGTCACTGGCACTTGTCGATTACCTCTGGGTGGATTTGCTGAACTTATGGGTAAGTGAAGAATGACCCAAAATTTTTTGACTGTAACTGTTCCTTTTGCAAATGAACCAGGCTGCAAGTGGATGCCAGGAACTTCTTGTACATCAGCTTGGTTCTAGCAGGTCTTTTATATCAGAAATCACATGGAATAACTTTATAAATGACTTGGAAATAAGCTTATTTCTATTAGCAGAGTATTCATATTCATGTAACAGGTAGCACCTGACAATTTCTGAGTGCTTTATCTGGATGGTTTTATGTCCAACAGATGTCCTGTGTGTTACTTCAAAGGAACAGATTACGGTTATTTTAATTTTATTTTCTAGGAAGTAATGGTCCTCAGAAATTCTGCATTGAAAAAGTTGGTAAGGAAACTTGGTTACCAAGAAGTCACACTTGGTAAGTTGTTACTTGTAAACTTTCTGTAAACTTTAGGGATTTCTCTATTCTGGTCTTGCATTTACCAAATCAAAAGAAATGTAATTTGAATCATTTCTGTCTTCAGTTTTGATTGCTCTGACATGCCAGTACTGAGAACTTAATCTTATATTTTGCTACTGCAACCTTGTGACATTAATATTCATTGTACTTTTAAAACTGCTATCAGGAAGATAACTTTGGGAAGACACAGAAAGAAACAGAATTGTGGCAGAGGCTTTTTGGAGCCAAGCTTAAGGAAAAGTTAAAACTTATTTCCAGGCACGTGTAGAAAGGATAAGGCTTTGGCCTTTTCGTGCTGCTGCTGGAATTTGGAGATGTATCAAATTAAATTTCTTGGCAAACATTTCCTCTTAGGAGTAAAGGTCCTGTTTCTTAATCTGATGTGATACCAGCCTTTTGTTTCTAAATGCATTGATTTAAAACTTTGTTTTTTCTGTTCATAGAAATGTTAAGGAGGGGAAATAGCATTAACTGATACTTCTTCATTTCTAATTGCTACACTTCTACTATAGAAGTCAAGTAGTGTTCTGTATGGCATTTAGATAAACTTAACAGGTTTTTTTTGTTGCTTTTTTTCCCCATGCTCAGTTTTAATCGTTTGGATTTGCCACCCTATAAAAGCTACGAACAACTGAAAGAGAAGCTGCTCTTTGCCATTGAAGAGACGGAGGGATTTGGTCAAGAGTAGAAGCAGCTTCTAGCCCAGAAGGAGACTTTGCATATTAAAAGGCTCAGCCAACTAAAATTGCACACTTAATTGTATATAAGCTTTTTGTTCTGTACAGTGATCTTTCTGGAACTCTAAAAGTAGAATTGTTCTCCGTTCTTCCACAAAGATATGCAAAACAGTTCAGCCTTTTCTACTTTTATTTATTGCCCTTCCAAAAGACCAGAAAAATCCCTCCTAAATGTTGAAAACAGACAAGAGTCTTATTTAAAATATATATTAAAAATATAAATATATATACTAATAAGCTCTAGTTTTATAGAGCTTTAAGTGTATGAAAAGTTGCAGCCATTTAAAAGGGCCTGGATTTGCTTTATCTTGGCTTTGTTATTTAGAAAAATGTTTAAACTGCTCTGTGTTCTCTCTTAAGAAACATCTCCAAGTTTGTTTTATTGCATGGCTGTTCTAAAAGGTGTTAAAGGCTTAGGCCAAACGTATCCTAAATATGTAGAAAGATGCTGCTGGTATTTGAGACGACAGAATATGATGTTCTGTCAGTTTAATTTTTTAAAATACATTAATAGCTGATATATCTCTCTTTACTACACTGATGTAGCCAAGGTCATTAATAAAGCCTTTATTACTTGCACAAGAGTAATGTACAATAAGATGAATGTGATTTAATGTTGAAAAGAATTGGTGCCACTGTTCTGACTTGTTGTAGGAGCTGAACAGAATATTTTGATTCATTTGAGCAGCATTGAAATTTGTTTACATATTGCCTTGGGTTATGACCACGAGGATGTTAGGTAATCTTCAAAGAAAAAATAATAATAAAAGAGAAACTATTACACATTTTCTCCTTGGTCTGTTGTCTTACAGGTTTTTTATTTTTATTTTTTTTCAACCTGTGATGTGTTTTTCACAGCTTCATAGTTATTAATGTAAAATGAGGTATAAGGGTAGACGAAAGGTAATGTGAACTTCGCTGCTTTCTATGCTCATGTTCAGTTTCTATTATTGGATCTAGTAAACCCAAATAAAATTAAATTGACATAAGCTTTGCACAGTTAAAACTATTTTGAAGTAGTAAATACTCTTATTTCTCTTAAGTTCCTGTAGAAATTCAGATGTACCTGAATTATGTCCAGAACCTGTCATTCTTTTCTGTAGGCCAAGTTTGTCCTACGTGCATAGTAATCAGTGATTCAAAATTTATTGTTATTATTTTTTTGGTGTTGAGGGCATTTGCTGAACTGAAAAGATGTTTGAAAAAAGTTATGACACCTTATTCATGTGAATTCTGTTAAATGCTACTTTTTAGCAAACTGTGCTTCCTTATTATAAAATGTTTAAAACTACCATTTGTATTATGCTTTAATATTAACTGTAAATTCCATTACATTTAACTTATACAGAATTTTGTACACACATAACAATGATTTCTTAAAATAAGATTAAAGACATTTCTGTAACATATCATATTGCACTGTTAAAAGTGTACACGCAGAAAAAACAGCTATATCTGTTCTTGTATCTTTCCGATACAGCATCTGAATTCACTGAATTCTGCCAAACCTTTATTTTTCTACAAACTGGATTCTCTGGAGGCTTTGTATTCAAAATGGCACAGTTTACTGTGGAGCTGCTAAGCTGTATGTAGCTTTGATAACAGTGGTACTGCACCTGGCCCAACGAAAGCACTATCTTACATGAACTTTCACTAAGAGTTTCAACAACTAATATTTGAAAGATTTTCATACTACACCACATATCTTCTGCAAAGCCGTTTTCATAAATACATCATTATCTCGAGTGTAATAGCACCAAAATTATGGCTTACAGGTTAGAAGTGGAGGAAGCTTGAAAGAAGTCAAAAGCAGGGCAACAGAAGTGAACCCTACAGTTCAGAGGACTAAAATGTCATACAGTTGAACCTTATGAATTTGCACTAATGAATGACTTGGTAACCCACTACCAACTGCTGAACTTTGTGAATCTGTGAGTAAGTTGTCAAAACAATAATAATAAAGAAGACAGCACATTACAAGAATGTAGTTTCTTTATTGATCTGCTTTAGCTGTCTCATAACTGCAACCTTTTCCTAGGGGTAAGAGTTAGTGAGCAAGAAAAAAAACAATGACCACTCTGTAGCATTCTCTACATGGACAATATGGACATAACTGGCTTCCAAAGACTGACTACAGGTATGGTTCTTAAGAGGCAAAACTCCCAAACCTAATAATTCATATAATTGTGTGTGCATGAAATTAACCTGGGAGTTCCTGTAATCCTGCACTGCCATTGCTTTCCCACTTGTCTTGCTTTCAGTCAACCTGTACTGGGAGGGGAGAGAGGTCCAAAGAGGAGCAAACAGCAAAGGCTTGGGCTCAGAAAAGCAAACTGATGTAATGCTGAAGGAGCTGCTTTCTAGTTCCTGGGTTGTGTGCCTTTCTGCCTGCAGGGAGGTAAATAAGTAGGTTTTTCCTAAACTCTCAGTGACCTTTACTGAGCAATCTACCATTTTCCTCTTTGTGCACATATTGCTTTCTGCAGCAGAAGCACAGAAGTAAGGTGCTGGTGCAGTAAGGCTCACAGAACAGGTTTTACATACAGTATGCTTTTAAGTGTGAAAGAATGCTTATAAAGTTTCACAATACAGCAGAATGCTTTAGGAAAAAAAAAATAATCATAATTATCCTGTGGTTCTGTCTCTCTTGTCCTTAAAAGTTATATTAGTTACTCACAGCTGAAGTGTAAGAAATTGCAGTACCCCCTTCTCCTGTGTATTTATAGTTATAAACACATGAAGCCCTTTATTCTCCTTTAAGTTAACAGAGAAATTGATGTAATAAAACAGGTCTTTCAGTAGATAGTTTAATTGAAACAAGAAATAGCAAGTTTTAGACTATAATTTTATTAACAACTTCAAGAGAAAAAAAATGGTATTTAGGTTCCTTTTCCTATGCTGCTTACTCTGAGATACTGACTTCCCAGTATCTTGTTTCTTGTTATATAGAATTAAGCAACTCCAAAGCTTCTTTCTGTACCTGAAATATAAAAATATACTCATAACAAAACAACACTTTGTGGTTACAGGCTTTTCTAGCAAAGCTTATTATCATGCAAACACTACAAAGCTTCACCACAGTTCTTCAGATTTGTTATTTTAAGACTAGTCAGTTACTTTCCCTTAGTTAAAGATGCTTAATGTTTTAAACACGGATGGGAATAGACCTCTTAAACCAGACCTTTCAGTATAGTTGACTTATTAAACATATTGTTTAGTTGGGTTGAATGCAGTAGATGAACTCTTGCTATGCTACTATTAGCCCAAAAGTACTGAGTTACCCTATTCCTGACGTAACCAACCAACCTAGAGTTTTGAAAACTGCAGACAGCAGCTAAGGGGATATGAAAGACTGTTTGCCAGAGTCTCTGTGCCTGAGGATTCTGAGTAAAAATAGTAAAATTTGATGATCAGTGGTACTAAAGAATAAAAAGCTTCCGGCCCTCACATAGCAAGCAGTGCAGGCACTGCAAGCCCAATACTGCAGGAGGTGAACAAAATTCATAATACCTACTTGCCCTACCTCTGTCAAACACAGAAACAAGAATTCCAGCTTCTCGGTAGCAGATCAGTTTCCTTCTTAATGGACTACATTGTTTAGGTTCCTATGTTTGTGACACCAATGATTGTTGTGTTTTACACAGCGACCAACAGAAGGGAGAGAGTGTCACCTCTGTTTAGCAGCTGTGCAGCACTTCAGAAGTAGTAAACTCAGGTGCCTGCCTTAACCTCAGCAACAGTTAAGGACAGGTAGTTGTTCACACCAGAAAACCATCGCTGTTTTTTATTAACAGAATATCTCTAACCATTGTAATTCAGAGGCTTACAGGACAGGATTTTCTGGTGTCCGGGTGTGATGCAGAAATATTAGTACTTAGCTAGAAGTTACTCTGAGGTAACTGCACTGTTTCCATGATGTGACGGAGGTTGGTTACCATTTCAGTTCTTAGCTTCTTACCTGTTTGTCCTCTTCTGTGTGTGCAGGATAATCCTTTGCTTTGCTTAACCACAGAAGAGCCATCTTTTTGTTGTTTAACTTCAGGTATGTCTTCCCAAGATAAAGCAAATTTTTGCTGTAGAAATTTGGGTCAGCTGTACAGAGACAGGAGAGAAAAGCATTCCACGATAATGAGCAGCATACTATCAAAACCACGATACAGCATCACTCCTCTAATCCTCATTTCAGAAAAAGATTAACATTATTACAATAATAAAGTACATGTAGGTAGGTAAATGCCTTGTTGTAGAAAAAGTGTAGTTTGATAAAGGAGGCAGAGCCTGAGTTCAACAGTGCTGCCTGCTCCCATCCCGCTTCCAGCTGGGGGACACACTGCAGTATGCACGAAACTTCAATAGTAAGCTGTAGCACTGCCCTTAGCACTATTAAGGTTATATACTCCAATACTTGTTAGGTTTTTTTAGTCATTGACTATTCCTCTGTCCTTAACATTTCAAATTCCAGCGAGCAAAAATCATATTTGCGCAAAATAATATAAAAATATATATAGGCTGCTCCAAAAGTAATGCCTCCTATGTATTTCCACAGAAACAACAACAGTTACAAAGGGCACAATAACACTATTTGATAGAGCACTTTCCCAGCCACAAAACACTATTTTTCAACACGTCACAACCATTATTTAGGGCCACAAAGATGATTGGGAGCCTGGAGTTTCTCCCATGTGAGGAAAGACTGAGGGACCTGAGACTGCTCATCCTGGAGAAGACTGAGAGGGGATCTAATCTATGTTTACAAATATCTGAGGTGTGGGAGTCAAATGGATGGGACCAGGCTCTTTTCAGTAGTGCCTGTGATGGGACAAGGGACAACAGGCACAAAATGCAACACAAGAGGTTCCATACAAACATGTGAAACAACTTTTCTACTGTGAGGATGACAGAGCACAGAACAGGCTGCCCAGAGAGGTTGTGGAGTCTCCTTCTCTGGAGATATTCAGGACCTGTCTGGGCACTCTTCCTGCGTAACCTACTGTAGGGGACCTGCTTTCGCAGGAAGGTTGGACTCCATGATCTCCAGAGGTCCCTTCCAACATCTACAATTCTATGATTAACTGTGCATTTTCTCCAGCAACGAACAAGACTGTGCTTGCCATGTTTGTAAAAGTCTGCAACAGCAGAAGCGACCACTGTGCTGCTGCAGAAATGCAACCACTGTGCTCACATCCACTGTTTGGTCTCCATAAATGTTCAGCAAGCATCAATGAATGTCAGCGGTGCCATTTTTTCCACATGGAGGCAGTCAGTGACACACTGTTGCATCCTACGCACTTCCATGTCAGATACCACTTTGTCAGGCTGCCCCCCTACAGCCATCTGTCACACAACAATAAAATGAAACGGAACATAGGTGGGAAGGTTCGACCTCTACTGCCATACCACCATCTGCCTTTGACATTGTAGGCCAATGTAATAAAATAGGAGCCACTACATTCAGAGCAGCCCTTCTATTTTTGTACACATATAACATCAAATACAGGTAAACATATGAAGGTGGTTTGGAGGCATGTTTTAAGGTGAAGTCTACCATTCCAGTCCACAGCTGCAGTAGCTGACACACAGGGAAAGAAAGATAATAAATTTTTCTTTCAGGCTTCACTGACACATCTATACAGAACATTTCCTTCCCTTATCTTTCAGCTTGTCAGTTTTGCTTGGGGCTTCCCTCTTGGGGAAAGAATAGTTACATACTTTCTTTTATGAGGACAGTTTTGCTGCCAGTTGGATAGGTACTCTGATCCCAGTGACAACTGAAATCATATAAAAGTGTTGTCTCTGTCATCCTATTGAGAATATAGGGGATTTTAGCACATTAAGAATGAACAAGAATGGTTGACGTAGAAATTCCACTTTTGCTTGCCTCTTTGCCCTGCAATAAAACATTCCAGTTGAATGCCTCAGGAAAAAGTATGAAGGACCCCCCAACGCACCCTGGACACCATGCATCCCAAATCCTGCTCAAGTACAAGCAACCCTGAGCCCAGGTGGGCTTCTGAGAGTCTCCAAGGAAGACACCAGACCCACCAGCTTGTGCCCACACATTGTGCTAGCAGAGCCCAGCCTGGCTCTGTTGCGTCCTCTTGGCACTTCTTCAGCTATTTACAGTAGCGAGGCTCACCCTCCCCCCCCTCAAGCATTTCCTTGTGCTTGAGTTCCTACGCCATCTCGACGGCCCCCTGCTGGACTCTCTCCACTGCGGGGCCGTTTCTGTCACTGAGGGGCGCCCAGAACTGCGCACGTTAAGCGCTGACTTAAGAACCACCGCCGTTCCTGGCCCGCGGGCTGACATCGCGCGCAGCCTCTGCCCAGAACACCGTTCTAGCAGCGGAGGCCAAGTCAAAAATAAAGCTTTCCCTGACCGGGAATCGAACCCGGGCCGCGGCGGTGAGAGCGCCGAATCCTAACCACTAGACCACCAGGGAGCGCGACAAGCATCCCTGCAGTGACAATATTGTGCTGCTACAGTTGCACATTCTTAAAGATACAATGTAACTTGCAACAAAAGTGAATATCGTATCTGCAAAAAACGACAAGGATTACCTTCCTCCGCCATGTGGAAGTAACGAAGGGCCTGCAAAAGATAAGGCTGTCTTTAATACCGGGCAAACTGAGGTGAATACAGCAGTCAAACCAAATCATTGCACATGCTCAACATAGGTGAGGAAGGACATCTGTTTGTCCCATCCATCATCTCATCTGCAGGAATTCAGCATGACACTCATTTGGTGTACAGTCAGATTGAACCTCTTCTCAACAGCACTACTTATCCAGCTTTCCCCGCCACTGTCATTCTTGTTTAAGTACAGCACCTTCTACTTGTGCTTAAGAATTCTGATGCTCTATTTCCAGTCTTCAACTTGTCAAGATCATTTTTATTTCTACCTTCCAGTGCATCTACAATCCCTCCAAGCTAGCTGTCAAGTATAAACTTAGAACTGAAACAAGATCTTGTCATTAATATTGACAAATGCTTTGGGAAGAACCAATTCCTGCAAACCATCATCCAGTACCATCCTACCTGAAGAGAGTAAACCATTATGAAATGTGCACACGTTTTTCAGCTAGCTTTCCATCCCACTCCTCAGAACCTTCACTCCATTCTTATCTCCTTCTAATGCCACCAGCTGGAGAGAAAGTACTGCCACACACCTTACAATGGCAATGCATCTACAAAGCAGTTTTTGTACTGAACTGTACCAGTCTTATCAGCATGGCTCACCCACAGAATTTGGGACAAGATTTTATTTCTTCAGTGACTTTAACTGCTGCAGAACTCAAAGTTGGGATTGGCAAAGTTCTACAGAAATCCTGGCTGACACCGTATTCTTCTGAAGGTGATTTTCAGCAAAACTCAAAGGCTTGATATTCCATTACAAAGTTCTCTCTTTTTCTTTTTTTTCCCTCTCCAATCAGCTCTTCAATAACTTTCTGTTTTTCAAGCAGTCTTCTGCAATTACTTTCTAGCGACTCCTCACCCCACTCAACTGACAACAACAGACTGTGCGCCAGGGATTTTATTGTTCTAACAGAACACAAAGAGTACAGCAGCTACAGGAAGCTTTTCTGTGACCAGTCTAGTTTTCAAGCCGCTACATCTATGCACACAAATAAGATGCATACTGTGTTAGACACCCCAGAACACAGACCTCTGCACAGTAAGATTCAGGGTGTCTGACAGCAGAAATTTTCACAGCAAAGACCACCAAAAATACTTCAACCTCTCTGAAAAACAGACGTTATGGTACCAGTGAATGAGAAAAAGGTATTCATTAGTGGATAATAATAAATCAAGCTGTTGCTTTTTGCATTTAAAATAAAGGGAAGAACTCTAATACTCCTATCAGATATATCCAAGGTATAACACGATTCTATAATCATCTGCACTAACCTAGCATAGAGCTATCTGCAGATCATCATAGTAAAGAGGTTCCATATAGCTTGCTACTCTCTGCTGCAGAAACCTCACAAAATCATTTTTCACTGTTCTATGAGCCATAGTTGAAAAAATTCCAGGCTCACTGGATTTTTAAACATACCTCGCTCTCCTGTTTTGCTCTCACTTTACTAATGATAGCTGCAAACTCACAAGTCCATATTTACTCCATCAGAACAGTTTTGTTTAGAAAATAATTGGCATTGCTTGCTATTCTAAGAACTTCTAAGAGGCCAGTTCTGTCAAGGAAATCAGTAAAAATACATCAGCAGCTTTGTGGGGTGAATAATAACACAAAACATTTTCCTACTGTACCTCTTCATACGTGGAAGTCGGAGGTGTTGCAAATAGCATTGCAGCTATCTTTCGTTGATACCATGGCAATTCAGCAAAGGAGTAACACCTGGAGCAGAAGGAAACATTTGTATATAACCTTCACATTACTCCTCTGTTTGGAATCAATGCTCATATATTGGATGTCATAACCAGCTGCTGCCAAGAGCCACAACAACCGCAGTCACAGCACAAGTTCTTACAACTGCCCAAACCAACTCCAAGTGTTTGAAATTGTTGCTAGATGTTTTGGTGCATCTTCTACTGGGAGTTCTGAGTACATGAAGCTGGAGACAGTTATTAACCACCAGACAGCCTTTCAGCTTGTAGTATTTTAGCAATTAATGCATTTTTCATATTGCTCTAAAATATTTGCAATAATGAGCACAACTCACTCCAACATTGGCTACAAATGTTCTGCAGCCTGACAGACTGTGATTGATAAGAATGAAAATAATGAGAGGAACCAAACGGCTGTGTTCTAGGCTTGGCCATTCTGCCCTGTTTTCCTACCTACTGATTAACAAAGGTAATCAGTTACCTATTTCAGAGATGATGAAAGAATTAAATATTTAAGTATTCCATGTACACAGAACATTCCAGATTCCACATTGAACAATGCTACTCTCTTGTATTAGTCTCACACAGTGATTGTAAGAATACTTATACTATTAGCATGAAGCAGAGCATGTGGGAGGAGGTGAACAATTAATGACTGCAAATATGGAAGTGCCTGAGGGTCAGGAGAGGGCAGGACACTGAATACACCATCCCAGTTACATTTTGCCAATAGGTGTGCCTTATCAGAAACGTGAATAAGACAGGGTCAGTCCAGGATACACTACAGAATATGGCTCAAAAATTGTCTGTTACTGAATTCCAGCTTCAGACGAAGCAGCGCTGGGACTCAGTAATGGATACAGTTAACAATACAATATGTGATTATTTCAGTGCCAAAAGCAATAGCAGACCCCATATTTCTCATCATCTTTTGTACAACATCTTAAGTGCTTTTCCAGAGCAGACCTCCTATCTCAAAACTGACATGGCAAAACTCATTTAGTTGGGAACATACATATCTGCCTAAACACTTGAGCTGCTGCAGTGGTTAGGTCGTGTGAGAATAAATAGTGCTGAAATATGGAAAAACTGAGATCTGTAAACTAACACAAAACTTCAGAGCTGTAGATTAGTTTCCACTGACATCCAACAGCCTAGAAAAGCTACAGAAATAAATTAATAGAATCCATAGCCACCTTTTATTTATGCTACAAATACTTAGGCTGTATTTATTGTCACAGAATCACAGAATGGCCTGGGTTGGAAGGGACCTCAAGGATCATGAATCTCCAAACCCCCTGCCACATGCAGGGCCACCAATCTCCACGTTTAATGCTAAACCAGGCTGCTCAGGGCCCCATCCAACCTGGCCTTGAACACCTCCAAGGACGGGGCATCCACAACCTCTCTAGGCAGCCTGTTCCAGTACCTCACCACTCTCTGGGTAAAGAATTTCCCCCTGATGTCCGACCTAAATCTCCCCTCCCTCAACTTCAAAACATTTCCCCTCATCCTACACATATCAACCCTTTCAAAGAGTTGATTCCCCTCCTGTTTGTAGGCTCTCTTTAGGTATTGAAAGGCTGCAATGAGGTCACCCCGCAGCCTTCTTGTCTCCAGGCTGAACAAGCCCAGCTCCCCAGCTCCCTCAGCCTGTTCTCATAGGGGAGGTGCTCCAGTCCCCTGATCATCCCAGTGGCCCTCCTCTGGATCCTCTCCAAAAGCTCCCTGTCTTTTGTCAATCTATTGGTTTGAGCTTCCTTATAAAACATTTGACAGAGGCCAAAGGTACCACACCTAAATAAACAGAAACACTGTCTGGAGACTCCCATTAAAAAATTAAAGATGCTGCACTCAACCAAACTGCTTCCATAGAAGTGTGGCCATTAGCAGAGAAAACTGTACTTCTAGACCTTTGCCTGCACTTTGCTGCACTGCAACAGTAACACTTAGTACAAATTTCACTAAGCAGTAAATACAGTTTCAAAGATTTGTTAATGCATATGCAGTCCTAAGCTGCATTTACTTAAATGTAACTTTTAAAATACAGTATTTTGAACATATACCATATTTGGTTGCTTTTCCCAAAACAGAGATTGTATTAAGTGTCAGCCATTAGTGAAATTCAATATTGATTCAGCGTTGAATTTTGCCTCCATTCATACTAGTCAGAACAAAATGAGCAGAGCTCACAACCACTACGTGCACTGTGGAGATGCACATACATCTGCAAATAAGTTTTTGATATTTTAATACAGTATAACACGGAACTAAAATGAGCAATTATTTTTCAAATTTCTGAGCTGTGTAAGGTTAACAGCCAGATGCTGCAGGCACGACTAAATCTTCCCATTCAACAGGTTTCCACTGAGTTATTCCAGCACTTCTCTTTGCCGTATTCTGGCGTATTTTCTAGCATTTTTCTTTGCCACATGTTAACTTACCAAACGCCCATAAGATGAACTGATGTTGCATCTTTCGGATTCAGTTCAAAGGCTCTCTAGTGCAGGAGGAAAATAAAATTAATTATTTTTAAAAAAGTTTGACAAATCAGGCTTAAAATACAACAACAAAAACCACGCTGACTTGTTGCCCTGCTATTAATTAAGCCACAATAACCCTTGTGTAGAATTTCAAAGATACCGTGTTTGCTCTGTGAATCCACTCATCTCCAAAACCTTTAGACACTGACAAACTTCTGAGCAGTTATGTTTAGCAGGTCAGTGTCACATAAGACTAGACATACTGAGATTGTTGATCTTATTTCTTGTGGAACAAAATTAGTCAGCAGACCTTCATCGTTCTTCATCTTTTCCAGCCGTTCTCTTTCACTGGTACCTAATGCACAGTTACAGTGATGGCCACACAACCTTTTCTCAGTAGCACAGCTAGAATTAATACAGGCCTAAGAGATGTCAGCAGCACTTCAGTTGTCTCAACACTCTCTTCCACAGGCACTTGTTAATGCAGGAGCTAAGTTTATTCCTCATTGATTTGGAACCCTGAACCAGCACAATAACCTTCAAATCAAACTGACACCAGGAGAGTTCACATTTGCAAATTTTCACCAAAAGAAAATCCTAACTAGCACACAACCCATGTATTAGACACATTAAGGCAGTCATTTAAATTACCTCAAAGTGCTCCTTGATAATAAAAGCATTTCCAATTTTAACCTTGATTCCTTCATAATCTCCAACATCACTGAGACAAATCGCATACCACTGTAATTCAAAGTACAAAATTAAAATATTTAATAAAGCATGATATCTACTAACATTAAAAACAAACAAACAAACAAAACAGAAAAACAGGACAGATACCATCACCACCCAGCAAGTATTTGTTATGAACAGTTTTAGCAGTGCCAAGAAACCTGCTAGCCTGAATGGATAATGGAATCAACGTCCTCTTCTTATCCAAGATGCTAACACTGTTGATCATACTTTGTTACCTACTTACCTGAGGAAGCAGCCCAAAATAAAGCCAGACCTGAAGTCTCTCCAACAAAACTCTACAGAACTACTGGTACACACATACAGCATGCTGGAAGGGTGGTGTGTGAAACATTTTTCAGGCTACGTCAGGGGAGACCAACTGTAAATGGCTTGATCCTGCACACATTGAACCAGCTTTCATTTCCTGTATCCTGTCTGGACTCTAATCTCAGAAACATATATACAAAACTTAGAAGTGAGTGAGAATTACAGTGAGAATCACTCATTTTTTAACTGAAAAGTTAAATTACACACAAGCTTGCTGAAACAGAACGATGACATTACTTGAGGTTTCCACTGGCAGAAATCAAAGAGCAAGATTTCAGTTACGTTATTTTGTTTGGCTTACCTTGTGTGCTGCAGAATTTGCTTCATTCTTTTCTAGTGCCCTTTTTGCATACTCAAGGGAATCATATGCCAGTTGTCTTTTCTCTTCTGCAGAAGTAATGCTGAGCTGAGCTAAATCTCGTGACGCTCGTGCCAGCCGCCATAACAACTCTGCATCCTCACTAGTTATGAACAGAAACATCAACATTTTTAAGTAGTAACGGCAACAAAGCAAGCAAAGGTCTCGAATCAGTCTTTCAATATGTATCTCAAGAGGGTGATACAACAACAGCATTATCATCTGGCATTTGGGCTGCACGAAACTTAAAGGTAACAAACAGCAGATAGAAGCCTGACATTATACGTAGTTATATCCTCAGGCAGTGTAAGTAAGGAGCTTTTTCATTCAGACTCAAATCCTAACAGGGGACAAATGAAAACTAAAAGAAGGAGCAGCTGGTCAGCAATGAACATGAAATGAAACAACGACTCCCAAAAGTTTTCAATACCTCAATTCTAGGTACTCTAGTCATTGCAGTTGTGTGTAGACATATTACGACTTCTTCCTAGTATATTTTAAAGCATTTTCTAAGTAACAAAACAAAGAAAAGAAAAAATCTCCCTGCAAGAACAAAAAATTGTGGCTAACCCTCAGTTTCCACAAATGCATTCAGCTACCAATCAGACAGAATCATTAAGGTTGGAAAAGACCTCTACCAACCATCCACCTACCACCAATATTGCCCCTAGCCATGCCATTAGCCATGCCCCTAAGTACCACATCCACACAGCTCTTAAACACCTCCTATGGCAGCCCATTTCAAAACCTCACCGCTCTAAGATATTTTCCCTAACAGCCAGACTGAACCTCCCCTAACACAACTTGAACTTCCTCTCATCACTAAGTCCTTTCTTCATTCACTCTTCTACCAGGATGGAAAAAAATCAAGAATGCTTTCCTATTTAAAAAGAAGTTGAAAGAAGGCTCTCCAGCATACCATAACAAGAATATTAGTTGGACTCTGGTACAGGAAAACACAATAAAAAAAGAAGTCAAAGTAACACGAAGATATTCAGTGCAGTCAAGTACCTATTTTTATGCTGAACCAGCAACCGATAGAGCTTTTCAGTTTCTCCACTCCCATACAGGTAGTCTGCTTGCTCTATAACTTCTGCCACTTAAGAACAGATGAAAAACGTGGAAACAGAAGAACAAATTACATGTAATTAAGATATTAAGGCATAAACAAAATGTTTTAGAGCAAGACAATTAACTGAAACACAAAGAACAAGTTATGAAATTTTTAGGCCTCATACACAACTGCACGGCAGACTCAGATAAGCTGCTTACAGTGAACAACTAGGCGGAGATACAGTGCCAAATATATGGAATTAAGAAATGGCTTTCAGTAACACAGACAGCTTAGGGTGCTTAATGGATTTAACACTTAATAGCGTTCTTCTTAACACATCAGACAGCAGAAGCAATTTCTTTGTGAAAAAGGCAGGAAAGTTTAAAAAAAAAAAAAAAAAAAAAAAAAAACGCATGAAAAATATGACCAGAAAAGCAAATGCAGTAGTGAGTGCTGAAACACCTTCATTAGTAAATGCAGAGTTTAAATCTAATCACTTTAAATGTGTATATATAGACACACACACACACACAATTTTATTCTTGTTTTCACATGGTTCCACAGTCTTGCTAAAGACAACTGCAGGCTGAGTAGGACTCATTCTTTTACTCAGCAAACCAAAACGAAAAGCTGCTCCGAGATCTTCCAGAGGAAATCCTTAAGGATTTTGAAAAAAATCAGAGCTGCCTTTTTAGTGCATCTATTTATGCCCTCAGCATCCACTGTACTTGTGACATTTAAATACATTTTTCTACAAAACATTTTAAAACTGGCAACAGAGACATGGGATCACTATTTCCACAACAAGCTGAATATAATCATGGAACCACAGAATCATTTGAGTTGGAAGGGACCATGAAAGGTCACCTAATCCAACTGCCTGCAATGAGTCCAACTTCCCTGCAGCAAAGTGACGCAGTAAGATAAATATGTAAATGAATTAATGTAATAATCTGATATATATATGTACATAGTACATGAAATAACATTTCATAGACAACACATAATACAGGATTCTAACATGAGAACAAAGGGAATTAGGAAAGGAAAAAAAAAAACAGAAATGGAAGCAGGTTGATCATTCTTTTGAAGCATGTAGCTGTATAGGAAAAAGAAAAAAAAAAACAACCAACAAATTCTATGCTTACTGTTCTACCAACACTAAAACATGAAAAAAAAAATGATATTTTCAAGTCCAAAGCTCTGCCTATTTTCTTAGGATATTTAGGTACGCTTATCTCTGGTATTTGTCCTTGGTTTGTAATCAAACACCTAAGCGAAAACATAAGCTCAAGTCCTGCTTCAGAAATTTCTCTCTTGTGTAAGCATCCTGTTTTTTTTTCAAGTTATGTGCTGAACACGGCAGCTGCGATATGGCTGTTGCGTTCTGCAGCAGTGTGGTTTTAATTATGGAATAAACAAATAAATAAAAGATTACTAAACTACACAACTCCACTTTCAACTGAAAAAGCTCCTAAAACAGAACTCAGGCTAGATGAGAGCGCTTCGGGTAACATTTTAACTCTGCTCTCCCTAAATGTTGACTCCTAACCACATGGACATTGGACCACGTGCCACAGAGCACATTTTCCTAACTTTGTGGGTTATCTTTGCTTCCTGAGGTGCTCTTGAACACTGTTATCATAATGACTGAAGGCTGAGAATTCAGACTTTTCAACAAAGTGCTTGCTAGGTGTTTTAGACTTTACCTAAGTCATTAGGCTTTTATTTCTTTGCGTGTCTACCAGGTATTCCCTTTTACTCTTATTTACACAGTATCTCTTCCTTGTTTCTCATAGGAAGAACAACAACGTCTCTCCTCTCAGCAGTGTAGTGCATAACCCACGTGAGAGCACTAACAAAAACCAGAGGCAAACTAAGAGCATTGCCTTCCTCGCGCGTTACCTTTGAAGCTGGCATGAACCACAGCAGAGCCGGAGACCAGCCTGAGAGCCTCACAGAACACGAAGGACCCCGTGGCGAGAGTGACCCCCCTCCTAAGGCTTTTTTTAAACACCTGCCGGGGATCACAAGGCGAACATTAATAATCACCGTAACTCCGAATCAAGTCTTTCTTTGGCTATAGTTTCAAAGGAGCACGAAGACCCCAACTTCCAGAGACACAACCCTTTGCACCGCCTCCCGCCGCTGCTGACAGCCCAGCACAGCACAGCACAGCGGGCCCGCACAGCCGCCGCCCGGTACCTCGCTCCCGCCGAGCCCCCGCCAGCCCCGCGCCGCCTCCCTCAGGAGCGGCCCAAGGAGAGGCACCAGGCGGGCGGGGCGGAGGCGAAGGGGCTGCACCAGCGCTGCCACGACAGAGGCCATCGCCTGGAGCCGTCCGCCAGGGGAGGAGAAGATGCAAGCGAGCGAGCAGGGCCAGCGCACAGCGAGAAGTCGCGCATGCTCTCTTCAGTGCCCCGGGGCGAGGCGGCCCCTTTCGGTGCGGGCGTGGCCACAGCTGCTGCGGGGTGAGGGTCCGCACAGCGCTACGCCGGCCCCGATCCGGCCCCGCAGGTGAGTGAGGGGCTCTGGTGCAGGGGAGGCGGCGGCGGCGGCGGCTGTTCCGCGGGAGGCCGGATCGGGCGCTGCCCGCGTGGGGCCCGCTGCCTGCCCGTCTTGGGACTCGCTTCGCCTCCGGTCCGGGCGGTGCTTTGCGGCGGGATAGGGCCGGGGCACCCCGCTCCGTGCAGGCCGGCCGCGGTGCGCGCCTTCCTGCTGGGACGCGGCTCAGCGGGAGCCCTGGGCGAGGCTCTGCCCCGCCGCGCCCCGAGCTCCGGGAGCTCCGAGTGAACGAGTCCCGGGGGCCTCTTCTTAAGGCTGCTTTGTCGGCGCCTCCGGGCTTCGGAGAGGAGTTTGGCAACGTTGTCGTCTTTTCTTGAACTACGACAAACAAGATCTGTTGCACCTACAGAGCTGCTGTTCTTACAGTGTTGTCTGTTTTTTTCCTTTTTGCCGTTGCGTGTTATTGGCTAGGATAGCGTTAAAACACGAGAGCTCTCCGCTTCTTCTTTAAGCACGTATTCAAAGTGTGAAAACAGTCCTTCAGCACTGCTCCCTGCATTCATTTCCTTGGGCATTTCATGGCTCCAGAAGTTCAGGTTAAAGACATTCCAGCGATGGTACGAAAAGAGTGTGTTTAACACCAGTGTTTAGAGTCAAGCTGAGCCCTAGGTGGGGTTTCTTTCCACTTGAGTTTTTAAGAATTAACTTACATTTTGTATCGTTATTTAATTTTATGCATGCGTATAGATCCACCTGCCTGTATAGCGGGAGAGATGAGATTTGTTTCAGAGAGCAGGCAGAACACTGTGCTAGCGATACTCATTAGAAGCAGACAAAGTAAGCAAGAAGGATGTGCAGAGAAGCAAGAACCAGACAGAAGTCCTTGTTTTTCTGTTCTGATGTTAGAGAGAACTCTGTTTTTTCCCTCTGTGTGTGTGTGTTATGTGTAACAGAATTAATGCTATAGGGAAGCAAGCCTTTGTAACTGTATAGGTGTGATGAGGATCCATTTCTGGGGGGTAGATGTGGGGTAGTTTGGCTAATTCTTAAAATCTCATCTCTGTGGGTGGGTCAGCTTAATGTTATAACCTGGGGTGGAGTTTTGTGTCTGTTCTGATTTAGAGTAAGGTAAATGCTGTCATTGCTTTGGTAGCCTTTAAGAAATACCTGTTATTTAGTGAAAAATGAAAAGGTAACTTACATTGTCTCCTTCCTCATGAATGCTTTTCATTTTTCAGTGAAAGTCACGATGCCATCCAACATAAATAATACATTACCAAGTTAGCATCTGTCAGCACTAATTCCTGGTAAACCTAGCAGTGTTACTTCTTGGATCAACTGGACTATGATTATTAACATTAATAACATTAACTTGTGGTGTGGCTTACTGAAACTCTTACTTAGACAGGAGGTGAAAATATGGTTCCCTTGATTGGTGTTGAATGAATCTTGATTGAATTTCTTCATTTGGTGCTTAACATTACTTCCCATGTGGTGCTTCTCCGGTGTTTGGGTGACTTTGCTCAATGATCAAAAGATTTCTGAAGGATTTTTGTTTTGGGTCTGGCTTGCTGTGTCAGAATTTCTGTTAAAGAAATTGTCTTGATGGTTTGGATCAGACTTTCTTCTATGATTGAAGGGTTATTTCCAATAGATCCTCCTTATGTTGCATCTGGATCCTGGTGTGTGTGTTGACTCACTATTCTATCCAAGGCACAATTAGAATCATAGGCCTGGGTTGAAAAGACCACAATGATCATCGAGTTTCAACCCCCTGCTATATGCAGGGTCACCAAACACCAGACCAGGCTGCCCAGAGCCACATCCAGCCTGGCCTTGAATGCCTTCAGGGATGGGGCATCCACAACCTCCTTGGGCAACCTGTTCCAGTGTGTCACCACCCTTTGAGCTGGATGAATGAGTTCTCATTGGGTGATAATGGCAACTCCTGGATTTTCTCACACCCAGGAGAGTTATCAGCAAGCCCACGCAGTAGGTGAGCAGTGCGTGGGCACTCACCTAATGGCTCCAGGGATCGGCCCGTTTGCTGTGCGTGTGTTCAGAGCCACTGTGTGCATTGCCTCCCAGGGGCAATAAATGCTGAGTGCACATAGTTGGTATTAGAGAGAATGGAAGGGCAGCTGACTGGAGAACTGCTGCTTGACTATTGGAGGGTTTGCACGATGTCCATGCTATAGTAAAGTATAATTCTCCAGCTAGCAGCTGGAAGCTAGTGTTATTGTTTGTACTCAGATATCAGACTTCTCCTGCCTATCTCTCTGTATGGTGTTTTTATTGTTTTTTCCTAGAGAACTTTTAGCAGTTCCAGAAAGCACAGTTTTGGTGAAAGCCCAGCTCAGAGCTTACAGGTCAGTGATTCCACTTGATTTAAAACACTGTCATCATACTGGGAGAGAAAAGTATTCAATAAATGGGGCCAAAAAGACAACTACAACTACATAATTGTTCTTAAAATTTTTAAGGACTTGCTGGTTGTTTTTTATTATTTAATTGGACTGTTTTTTTTTTTTTTTTTTTTTTTTTTTTTTCCCCTGTAACGAAGCTGTTGCCTCCTATTAATAATCTTTACAGTGATGTTGTGGACAGGTTACTCATTTTAAGAGGAACTGAAGTTTCTCAAACACATGCATTTGTATCTGTTACGTTGATACACAGGAAGAGCAATTCTGTGGTTTAATTTCCTTTCGTTTCACACTTTAATGCTTCTGAAGCTGTAGCTGTCTGCTGAGAAGCCAACAGACAGACTGCTGAGCTAAGTCACCATAAATCAATTTTTAAGAATTGATGTCTACTAAATGAAATGCAGTCACAACATGCTAGGCTTGAATGTGACTCTGAGAAGGGTTAATCTAAAACATAGGATTGCTGACACTTTGTTTCTACAATAAAATAAAGTCAGTTTTGGTGAGATACAAGTTTTTCTTGTAATATTTGTTATCTGAAGTCCATCAGTGGCTCTACACCTAGAAATCAAATAAAGAATGCATAATTTTAGATGTTTGTGTTGTATAAGTTATTGTTTTCCATGAAGTATAAAAATATTCTGATCAAATATATGCAAGAAATAGATTTTCCTCTGCTTGATTTTCTTTGTTTAAAACAAAAAAATATATGTATCTCTTTGAAGTCAGGAGATCGGTGTCTCTTAATTTTCTGCCTTTTGTAAACTAGCTGAACGTCTCCCAGATTTCATAAAAAAAGCTTTTGTGTGAGGAGGGTGCTGTGAAGAGCCCTCACCAGTAGAAATACACCTGAAGGATGAATGCACATGCAGGATAAAAAGGCTCAAAAGAAAGGTAATTCAAAATGACCATTTATAAGTCATTATGCAAACAGGAGATGCAATAGTTTCTGGTTTTTGCAAAGCATTTTTTTTTCAAATAGATTTCTAAATATATTATTTGGAAAAAATAACTTAATGATAGATTTTTATGTATAGGAACTACCTATTAATGGTTGCCTGACTTGTTACACCAGTATGCTGCCAATCCAGTGGATAAATATTTAAACTGCCTGATGAAGCTTGTATAAACAGATGATTCATTGCCCATAGAACGAACAATATCTCACTCATATGCCTCAGATTACTTGAAAAGTAGCTTCTATTTTTTTCCTCTGCATAATCTCCAATAAAATGGGCAGTGTGGTCATTATGGTTTTATCAGCACAATCTCATGTGTTCAATTAAGAACTATGTGGTTCCTTCCTGTATATTAAGTATTGAACACCAAAAGAAGGAACTTGTGTTTGGGGTTTTGTGTGACTCTTAGAATAGTTACAGGATGATTCAGATTGATGCCTACTGGTTTGATATGCTTCTATTACTCAGCTTTTCACTGCATCAGCTATTGCAACATGGTCTTATCAGCTGTGTTGTGACTGTAACAAGAGAAGAAAAATGGGCAGTTTCTGCGTTTGTCATAGTCTCACTGTCAGCTTCTTGCAGCAGTTGTGGCATTTTATGGGAATATGTTCTTATTCTGTGTTTTTTACATGTACAACAACGATGAAGGATCACACTGAGTGTCCTTCTGTCTTGTTAAAGTTAGGTATTTCTGCTTATTGGAATTGGGAAGCACCTGCTTTTAGGAACATATCACTGCTCTTTCATGAAAGCAATATTTGGGCAAGTCTGAACTCTCCTCTGCTATTGCAGCGTTGACATGATTGCTGCGGACTGGCAGTTCCTAAGTGCTCTATTAGATGAGTCCAGTAACTACAAGACAAGACTAGTCTATGACTTAGAGTTTTGCTTTCATTATGGCAGCTCAGGGAAGAAGACGTGTAATGTATTTAGTTGATCTAATCATGTTCTTGGTTGGCCTATGCCTGTTGTAGGGTCAGGAGTAACATCTCCCTTGTGATATGTGAATTTGCATTGTTGCAGTTCAGAATCTGCATGTTGTAAGCTCTACTTTATTTACTGGTTTGGTCTTCCCTTATCCAGAATTTTCTGGGTTTTATGAGCCTGTGTTGTGGTTTGACCTGGCACATAGCTGAATGCCTTACAATGCCTTTTGCTTGCTCCCCTTTTTCCCAGTGGGATGAGGGAAAAGAGAGTGAAGGGGGGCAGGGGGGAGGTTCAGGAAGTAGAACTCTTAGGCTGAGATAAAATTATTTGCTAGGATCAAAAAGGAAGAGAGAAATAACAGTAATGATAATATATGTATTTATAAAACAAGTGATGCTCAAAGCAATTGCTCACTACTTAGTTTTGGCTTAGTTTTCTACGCAATGTGAATCCCATATGGCATGGCATATCCCTTTGGCCAGATTAGGTCAACTGTCCTGATTCTGCCCCCTCCCAGCTCCTTGTGCCCCCCTCGTTGGCAGTACAGTAGGAGAAGCTGAAAACTGAAACATCCTTGGCTCTGTA